ACTCTGTTGACATACAATTACACATTTGAGTTCTTTTCAGCCTTCCTCTGTTACCAGAATATTTGGGAATAACTTTGTACATATATTGTTACATATTTGTTCTTTTTGGAGGGTGGCATTGAGCTACACCCAGCAGTGTTTAGGGCTTATTCCTGGCTCTGCTCAATATACACTCATCCAATTGAGCTGTCTCTGTGTTCCCTCAGATTAGTTTTTAAATGGTTAAGCATGCATGTTAATATTTTTATTTCCATCTCCCTATTCCCTTTTCTCTTCATGGTTGACGATGTGGTGGTGACTGAGTGCAGTGCTCACACATTTAACTGTGGTGCTTACAGGAGGTTGCATATTAGGCTCTGGTGCTCATCACAATGTGCAGTCGTGGAGTTGTGGTGCTTGCACATGTACTTGTTGGGAGTCATGGATACATAAGCAGTGCCCGAACTTGATGCCTGAGCATTCTGGCTGTAGTGCTCTCCAGAGCCCACTGGAGCTCATGCATTTGCCCCACCCCCCCATCCCTCCTCCTGCCCTTGAAGCTCTCCAGGGGCTATACCCTTTTGTGGTGCTTAAACATATCCGGCTGTGGTGTAGCTTGAAAGAACTTGCAGCACTGGGGAGACTTGGCAGCAGACTGTTCCACTCTAGCAGCAGAGCTCCTAGGATTAAATTTGGCTCGTGAATTGACATTAGTGACCTGAACTCATGACCAGGGCTTGCAAGGCAGGCACTATAGGCCACTGTATTATTTCTCTGGGTTCTGTGATACTTTTTTTTTCACTTTTTAAAAAAATTATTTATTTATTGAATCTCCATGAGAACAGTCACAACGCCTTTCAGTTCAAATCTTGGTCAGTCATACAATGATCAAACACCCGTCCCTTCACCAGTGCACATTTTCCACCACCAAGAACCCCAGTATACCCCCCACCCCCGCCTATGTGGCAGACTTCCACTTTACTCTCTCTCTCTCTCTCTCTCTCTCTCTCTCTCTCTCTCTCTCTCTCTCCTCTCTCTCCCCGTTGATCACATTCAATATTACGACAAAAGACCCAACATTGTTATTTGGAATTTTCCCTAATACTCAGACCTGCCACAAACATTATTAGAAAATTTGTTTTCTATTACTGATTATGAAGAGCATAGGTGTCGTGTGGCCACAATAGTGGCCACATGAATTTAGATTTCTGATATTTTAGTAATAAACCTAGAGGGATTACTGCCAGAAGCCCAAGATTGGTTCCAAGATTGGTATGTGTGCCTCTGGGATCATGGTCGGTCAGAAGCCGGAGGAGGTGTTTGAGGATAGCAGCCTGGAGCATTGTCATGGCGGGGAGCAGGGCCGATTCCACCCCCATCCCATGAAGCCCCACATGCCTTGTCAATGCAGTCTCATGCCTGGCTGTTCATTAGGCTCTAAAAGATGCAGGCCACCATGTTGCTGCTTCAAAGGGGGACAGGCAGAGGGAAAGACACCCTTCCCCTCCCAGGGCAGCATAGCACCATAGTTAAATACAGAGTCCAGATGTATTTCGGTTGGACATTATTTTTTTTTTCCTCCGATTTTCCCACCACCACTCAAGCCTGATTTTCAGGGACAAATGCTAGATCACTTACTTTCCATTGATCACTTTGCATATCAGGAAATGTCATATACGGCTTACGCAGTCACGTGGTTCGGAAAATAGTCCTGGTACCCGCATGCCAGAGCCCTGCTTGTAGAAGCTCATGGTCACCGGGATTCCATCTGGAGAAGGCGGGGACACAGCACCTACCCCATCTGGGACTTCCCAGTGATATTGGCTCTGGATGGGCCCGGAGAATTCTCCGGGAGCTGTGGGGCCCTCCAACTGGTTTTTTTCTTCGCTGCTTTGTGCTGTAAGATGGCACTGGGAGTGGGTTGTGGGCATGACTTCCAGAATCAGAGGTTGCCTGGGAGCAGGTGCGGCCCCATTGCAGTTCGGAAAAAAGTCCTGGTACCCGCACGCCAGAGCCCTGCTTGTAGAAGCTCATGGTCACTGGGATTTCATCTGGAGAAGGCGGTGATACGTTTTTTAATCAGTCTTAGGAATTTTGTGTCATGTAATGAGTTTATCTTATGGAGCCTTCTCACCCTCTTTCATTGCTTCTAGATTTGGCGCATACTTATGCTTTTCTAGACATGCTAGGTTTCCTTTTGGTATTAGTATGATTTCATTATTTGCATTTACATTCGTGGTCTGGGTTCACACACGTGCTTGGTTATGAGGCCCGGCAAACTGATTACGATGATTATTGGGGGTATGCTCCTGTTGGGTGCTTTGGGGGCTGCATTCATTTTGTTGTGGTGCTTGAGCAAATTCTAGTTTTAGTGCTTCTATGGCCACTCAAAGGTTGCTTCTGGTGGTGCTCAGTGGACTGTGTGGTGTCCAAGATTGAACCTGAGAGTCTGTGCAAAACATGTGCTGCACAGCGTGATAATGCATGTGCATGTTTACTCATAGTGCTTGTCCAGGGGTTGCACACTTTAATTGTGTTGCGTATACACTCCTGGCTGCATGCTGGAGACTAGTTGCGCACTCCTTTGTGGAGCTAGAATCTCCAGATAAACGGAGGGGCCATGATTGTACTCAGAATCGCACTGGAAATAGAACTTGAGGCCTCAAACTTGCAAGGCAGGCACTTGTTACTGAACTGTCCCCGCATTCTCTTTTTATTTTTTTTTCCTTCTTCCTTTCTAATTGTTTTGATTGTGGTGCTTGCATTTGGTTGTAGTGCTCAGCAGAGTTTACATACTTTGGTTGCTGTGCCAGACACACATTTGGTTACATATGCCTGAGGTGTCACACTTTTGTGGGCACCAGGGATCAGAAACAGCAGTCACTCCTGAGGAGAGAGCCCGAAGTAGCATTGCCACAGGGATGACATTCAGCAGTGGCGATCAAATTTGCAGTCTCATCTCTGCAAGGCAGGAGATCTACCACTCAACTGTATTTAAAAGCCCTTCATTTTCATTGTTGAATGAGATTGTTATATTATGATCACTCCACACTTTATATATCCATTTATTAGTTGATGACATTTGATTATTTTCACATTTTGGCTGTTTGTTTAATTGGCTGTTTAACATCATTAAGAGTGTTGTGTTTATGTCTGTGTTCATTTCTCTTGGTTATACATCTATGAGTAGAATTCCTGGGTCACATGGAATCTCTATGTTTAACCTTTGAGGAAGTATCAAACTTACAAAGAAAAACAACTGATTTTTAGGGCAGGAGAGACAATATTTAGGGGTTAAGATGCTTTTCTTGCATCCCACCAGCACTAGTTTAAATACCCAACACTACATATGGTCCCCTGATTAATTTCAGAGGTTCACTCCTGAGCAAAAAGTCATGAGTAGCCATTGAACACTGCATACTTGTCATCCAATACCCCCCTTAAAAAGAACTATTTCTTTTAGAAATGCATAAGGATTTTAATTTCTTTATATTACTAGCACTTAATACTTTTTTTTTTAAAGAAAGTCATCACAGTGGATATGAAAGTGTTTTTTTTTTTTTTTGATTGTCTTTGGGTCTCACCCATTAGTGCTCAAAGGCTACTTCTGGTAGTGCTTGGGGGACTGTGTGGTGTCCTTTATTGAAACTGTGTTATCTGCATGCAAAATATTTTCTTCAGCCTGTTGTTACTCTGGCCCTTCTCATTATTTTAATTTGCAGTTTCCTATATTTTAATTTGCAGTTCCCTAATGATGGTATGTTGACCTTGTGCTTTTGGATTCATTTGCATATCGCTCCCTCCCTCCCTCCCTCCCTCCCTTCCTCCCTTCCCCCTTTCTCCCTTCCTCCCTTTCACCCACCCTTCCTTCCTTCCTTCCTTCCTTCCTTCCTTCCTTCCTTCCTTCCTTCCTTCCTTCCTGTTTTAGCTATTACATTTATTTAATTCATTTTTAGACTTCTTTGTGTGTGGTTTAAAGAAGGAGTTTAATTTTATTCTGCATTTCTATATGCAGTTTTCCAGCACCACTTGTAGAAAGGCTGTTCTTTTCCCATTAAATTGCCCCAACATGCTTGTGGAAATGAGTTGAATGTGAATGTAAGGAGTTAATTCTAGTCTTTGCATTTCATTCCACTAGTCTGCATGTTTATCCCTCTATCAGTATCACACTGTACTGGTGGCTGTAGATTTCTGCTAACTATTGAATTGGGAGGGTGTGTATGTGTCCTTCAACTTTCTTTTTTCTAGATTATTTTGGGTTTAATGGAGTCCGAGTCCCTTGCATTTCCGTATAAATTTTAGATCTGATTGTTGAATATTGAAAAAACAAAAAGGCAGCTAGGATTTAGATAGGCATTGCATTGATCACGTGGAGATGTACCACATGGTAGACGCAGAGAACTTGACTTGCATATTTGAGGCCATTGATTTGATCCTTGCTACTGAGATGAAGGAGGAGGAGGAAGAGGAGATTGATCTATAGATAACTTTCAGTGAATATTGATATTTGTTGAAACTATATATTCTTATGCATAATCATAAGGTATCCTTTTATTAGCTCATTTCTTATTTCCTTAAACAGTGTTTAGTAGGTTCAAATGAATATTTTTTTAAATTTATTTTGTGAAAACGTGGAAATATTTGATAAAACCAGGAATTGACTCAAGGATGTTTATGTTGTTGTCTCAACTTGTTTTTAATGTTTCTTATTTTTTAAAAAATCAAATTTTGGGATCCTGTTTTGTTTTTGAGCACATGTCAAATTATTGTTATTCCTGGCTCTGTTTTCGGTGATCACTCCTGGTGGTACTCAAGGGACCATATAGGGTACCAGGGATTAAACCAGGGTCCTCCATATACAAGACAAGTGCCCTACCTGTTGTTCAAAGTAATTTTAATGCTTTGTAATTAAGACTTAGGAAATAGTAGGAAGACCAAAATGTGTTTTTTCCCCCTTTAAACATTAACCTGACATACTCTGATTTATCTATTCATGTATTTATTCTCTTCTTCCCATACAGAGTATTATATGAAGGGAAAGAAAGACTTATTCCAGGATGTGAAGTGATCCAAGCTACACCTTATGGTCGCTGTGCCAATGTCAACAATAGTTCAACCACTTCGCAAAGAATCTTTATCACTTATCGAAGGGCTCCTCCAGTTCGACCCCAGAATTCCTTGGCTGTAACTGATATCTGTGTTATTGTCACCAGTAAAGGAGAAACCCCTCCTCATACTTTCTGCAAAGTTGACAAAAACTTAAATTGTGGAATGGTAAGATTAAAGTTGTTTAGTTTTCAAAGTTTTAGTTGAAAACCAAGGAGAATAATATCTCTTAATTATTTGGCATGTAATGTACGCTCAATTTATGTTTTCATGATTCTTGTTATATTTTAGCTCTGATTTTTATGATTCATGATAATTTAAAAAAATCTTTAAAAATCTGGTGATTTAGGATAATTCCGTCTGGAAAATTGATAGTTAAAAGCCTCTTTTGAGGGAAAGGGGGTATAATATTCTCTAGGATACATTAATATACCAGTCATATTAGCTTTTTAATTTTAATAGTATCTTCAAGGATAGCTACAGGAATTGTTGGCATATTTATTTAAAATATTATAGTTTTGCTTATTTTTAAAAAGTGCTCTAAAGAAGACAGTTGAACAGATACATTTGATTTATAGCTTTATGAGACTGAATTCATTGGGTCAAATTCATTTTGAAAAGTCTCTCTAGTTGAGGGGATGGGTGTGGGAGGGATACTGGGATCCATGGTGGTGGAAAATGGGCACTGGTGGAGGGATGGGTATTTGATCATTGTATAATCGAAACCCAAGCACAAAAATTTGTAAATCTACAACTGTACCTCATGGTGTTTCACCAATAAAAATTTAAAAAAAAGAAAAAAAGAAAAAAAGAAAAGTATCTCTAGATCAGCTAACTAATGTTAACTGAAATGTGGTTCAGGCAGAGATGACTGATATACCCCTGACTCTTGTTTAAGACAGGTTTGCCTCTGCAGGTAAGGACTTTATAGCTTGATAGTGACCCATTCATTATTCCCTAACTTTGATTCCTGTGTCCACTCTCCCTTGTGCTGTGTCTCAAATAGAGGCAAGTCTTTGGGTGGTTACAGAATTTTAAGCTTTAAAAGTTGTCCTCAGTTTTTTTTTAAGTTTTAGACAAATAATATTTCAACAGCAATCCCACTCCCAGTGTCAACTTCCCTCCAACAGTGTTCCCATAATTCCTCCCCACCCCAGTCCTTTACCTAACGATTGCCTGTCAACTTGACAGGAACATTACAGAATTTCAGTGGTTGCAGCTTAGATTTCATGTTTTCAGTTTTGTTGAGTTTTGGCTGTATGGCTGTACTGCTTACCCATATCACCAATATAACTGAGACTCTGGTGTCTATTCACCCATTACTTCCTGTTCTCTTATTCTCCTGTTGGTTTCTTTCCTTTCCTGTCCTCCTCCTCTTTAAACATTGGGTTAAAGGGTAACCTAGGTATACCTCCCTTTACTACAGTAGATTTCCTCATCCAGTATTCAGTATACCACAGATAAGTGAGATCATCCTGTTTGTTTTCTCCTGGTCTACTTCACTCAACATGATATCTTCCAGTACCAAATACTTTGCAGGGGTTTGGGAGGGAAACTGGGGACATTGGTGGTGGGAAATGTACTCTGATAAACAGATGGGTATTGAAACATTGTCTGACTGAAACCCAATCAAGAATAACTTAACTGTATCTCACAGTGATACAATTAAAAATATATATACTTATATTTATATATAGTATATAAATATGTATTTATATACAGTAAAAATATAAATATATTTTTACTTACTTATTGTTTTTTGGGTCACACTTGGCGATGCACAGGGGCTACTCTTGACTCTGCATGCAGGAATTATTCCTGGTGATGCTCAGGGGACCATATGGGATGCTGGGAATCGAACCCAGGTCAGCCACATGGAAGGCAAACGCCCTACCCACTGTGCTATCACTCCAGCCCAAAAAATAAATATATATTTAAAATAAATAAAAGAGTTCAAGGTACATCGACTTCTTTTCTTTTGGTAGTTTTTTTTTTATACTTTATATTATTTTTGTATGTGGAGTGATAGCACAGTGGTAGGGTGTTTGCCTTGCATGCAGCCGACACGGCCACCCAAGTACGATTCCTCCGCCCCTCTCGGAGAGCCAGGCAAGCTACCGAGAATATCTCGCCCGCACGGCAAAGCCTGGCAAGCTGCCCGTGATGTATTTGATTTGCCAAACACAATAACAAGTCTCAAAATGGAGACGTTACTGGGCCTGCTCGAGCAAATCGATGAACAACAGGAGGACAGTTTGTTTGTTTTTGTTTGATGTCTTATTAATGGTTTGCTGGTTTTTTAGTACAGTAGATTAACATGTTTTAAATCAACTCCTTTGAATAAAGAGATTTTTTTTTATTAGTGAAACACCATGAGGTACAGTTATAGGCTTACAAATTTTGTGCTTGGGTTTCAGTTATACAATGATCAAGTGCCCATCCCTCCACCAGTGCCCGTCATCCATCACCACGGGTCCCAGCATCCCCCCCCTCCCCCCCGTCCCATCCTGGCTCTGTGGCAGGGTATTCCCCCTTGTTCTCTCTCTCTTCTTTTGGGTACTGTGTTTTGCAAGAGAGGCATTGAGTGGCAATCATGTTTGGTCTATAGACTACTTTTAACATGCTTCTCCCACCCTGGGAGGGTCCTCACAACACCCTTCATTTGGTGCTCTCTTCTCTATCTGAGCTTCCTTTTCACCTAGAATGTGTGGCTGGCCTTCCATTCATGGAGCAAAATTCCTGGTACTAATCTCAGCCATTCCTGGGTGTTAGTCTCCCTTTTTGTTGCTTTATGTTCCCCAGATGAATGCAATCTTTCTGTGTCTATCCTGCTCTTTCTGACTCATTTCGCTTAACATGATACTTTCCATGTAGTACCACTTGTATGTAAATTTCATAACTTCATCTTTTCTAACAGCTACATAGTACTCCATTGTGTAAATGTACCAAAGTTTCTTTAACCAGTCATCTGTTCTTGGGCACTCAGGTTTTTTCCAGATTCTGGCTATTGTAAAGAGTGCTGCAATGAACAAACAATTGCAGATGTCACTTCGACTATACCTTTTTGCCTCTCTGGGATATATTCCCAGGAGTGCTATAGCTGGGTCAAATGGCAGATTAAATTCTAATTTTTTGAGAGTCGTCCATACTGTTTTCCAAAAGGGTTGGACCAGCTGGCATTCCCACCAGCAGTGAAGGAGGGTCCCTTTCTCGCCACATCCGCGCCAGCATTGGTTGCTTTTGTTCTTGTGGATGTGGGCCAGTCCCTGTGGTGTGAAATGATATCTCATTGTGGTTTTGATCTGCATCTCTCTGATGATTAGTGATGTAGAGCATTTTCTCATGTGCCTTTTTGCCATTCGAATTTCTTCTTTGCGAAAGTTTCTGTTCATTTCCTCACCCCATTTTTTGATGGCGTTGGGTGATTTCTTCTTGTGGAGTTTAACCAGTACCTTGTATATCCTTGATATCAACCCCTTGTCGGATGTGTACTTGGTGAATATCCTTTCCCATTCTGTAGGCTGTCTTTGTATTTTGGTCACTGTTTCTTTTGAGGTGCAGAAGCTTCTTAGTTTAAGATAGTCCCATTTGTCTATCTCTGTTTTCACTTGCTCGGCCAGTGGCGTGACATCTTTGAAGATACCATTAGCTTCAATATCATGGAGAGTTTTGCCGACTTTGTCTTCAATAAACATTATGGATTCTGGTCTGATGTTGAGGTCATAAATCCATTTTGATCTTACTTTTTTTGCATGGTGTTAGGCAGAGATCTGAGCCCACTGTTTTGCATGTAGCCGTCCAATTTTGCCAGCACAGTTTATTGAAGAGGCTTTCCCTGCTCCATTTTACTTTTCTTGCCCCTTTATCAAAGATTAGATGATTATATGTTTGGGAGGAAATGTCAGTATTGAATAAAGAGATGTTTTAGAAGACATTCACTTCAACAAAATCAATTTCTTTTTGTCTTTTTTTTTAACCTCATTTGTGTTTTACAGTGGGGTTCCAGTGTGTTTCTATGTTATAAGAAGTCTGTGCCTGCTTCTAATGCAATAGCATATAAAGCTGGTAAGTAAGTTAAAGAAACTTCTCTCCTTCAGTTAGTAGTACTGGTATACACCAGTCTTTGGTTAGAGGAGTTCTTATATGCTTTCTTACTTGTGAAATTGATCTATTTATAAATGGAATTATCTATAGCTTCAGCATGTAAAGATATGTTTTCTTAAGTAAATTATAACCTATAAGATGTATTGTTATTGCCCAACACACAAGAATATGTTAATTAAATGTTTTCATCTCAAGCAAGCATATATAAACATTCAAGCCTTTAATCCACACTAATCGATTTAACAATTCAATGGAAAACTGTTTACTTTCTCACCTTTTATATTTTGGCAATCAGAAAGGTGTCAAACTGCATCTTTACTTCTTATATTTCCTTCTCTTATCTCTGTGTGTCTGATTTGAAACCACATGTTACATGTCATGAAAGGTGGACTTGCTTCCTTTCTTCCTTGTTGCAAAGAATCAGCTATATGGAGGAGAGGAGGGCCTGAGAAACTTTTCTGCCATGAAGTGTTTGAGAAATCTATCGCCACATTCTTACTGCACAGTAAAGTGTCAAGGGCTGTAAAGATATAAGTGTGACCTCTTCATCCCACTGGTATGGTGGGATAAAAACTGAAAATACAGGTATGCTCCAGTTGTAAATAAAAGAGATACTGGAATACTTCTTTGTGAGAAGAAACACTGTCAGTTAATTTTTGATCATGCAGAGTTTTTGGAGTAAAGGTTTACTTCAGGGAAGTCAGGCAAGTCATATGTGAAAAATCTTGTTCTTCATAAAGACATTCACAGTAATCAGTAATTTAATATCAAAGTAGAGGTAGTAGAGATGTGATACTTTTGGTATTCTTTATACAGTACTAATACTGTAATGTATTTTATAGTTTTAGTGAGTAGAAAGTTTCACTTTAAAATATGGGAACAAGCTTTGTGAAAGTATCCAGGTAATTGATACGAGACACATTTTCTAGAATACAGAATTTTGGTGACTGAATTTCCACTCAAAATTCTGATGCTTGTTTTCAAACATTTAACGTAGAGGTGGTCCTGCATATTAGAGCTAACCTGAGACTAATGAATTGCTGCCATTTAGCTACTTTATTCTGATGGGACTCAGTTATGCTTCTTGAGTGCCCCTGGCTTGCTCTTACATTGTCTCCTTACTAGTAGCAGGGGCTTCTGCCTTGGGTACTTTCTATGCTGCATGCCTTTTACGCTGCTTCTCTTTTAAGATGAGTTTAGGGGCGGTAACAGTTTCTGTTGCCTTAGTAATACTTCATAACATTTATCCTTTTCCTGAATTTCTTACTGAGGACTAACTGAAATGGTTGGTAAATATTTCTTTATGCTCCATTCCATTATCTGAGAGTTTGGGAGAGCTTGGCAGTGTGTAGACAATAAGACATTAAGATTGTTGATCCTGTTAAATAGTTTTATTTTGTGTATCTAATACATTTTAATGTTTCAGTGAACTATAAGTTTTTGGTAAAAAATAAAGGCTAATTTTACTTTCAAATATGGCAAGAGAAAAATTATTTTTTTAGCTTTATATATAAATAGTCCCATGAAATTTGCCTTCAGAATGCCCTGTATCATACGTAGCTTATGAAAATGTAACTTAAAAAAGATTTATCCTTGTTTTCCTTTTTCCAAAGGTTTAATTTTTAGATATCCAGAAGATGACTACGAATCATTTCCACTTTCAGAATCTGTACCCCTCTTCTGCCTTCCTATGGGAGCTACTATTGAATGTTGGGATCCTCAAACCAAATACCCACTTCCAGTTTTTTCAACTTTTGTCCTGACTGGTTCTTCAGCTGAAAAGGTATATTTTGCTTTATGTAGAAGTTGATGATTGGTTCAGAGTTTTCCAGGATTTGTAGGAAATTGAATCTTTAGATCAAAAATACATTTTATGGGCCTGAGAAATAGGGTGCCTGCCTTGCATGGAGCTAATCCAGGGTTAATCCCTGGCACCAGAAAGTCTTCTGACACCAACACTGAGCCAAGAGTAGCCCCCAGACTACCACCCAGTGTGGCTCCAACCTCCTTAACCCCAGGGGGTAAAAAAAAAAAGAGAGAGAACAGTTTCTGCTTAAAAGGCCAGGACGTATTCAGGACTCCAGGTTTGGTGCCTGGAGTCTCTAAACACCACTGGGTATTGCCCTCCAAGGAAAATAGTTATATACTGGAAGAAGATCTTTATTATAACTGAGTAGCACACACCTAAATGCTTTAACGTAATCATCATTTATGTTTTCTGTATTGAAAGCATTAAGTATAAATGGGAATTTAACATCTTTAAATACATAATAGTTACTAAATTCACTTTAACGTGTAAAGAACACCAAAGTCATATTAGTGTTTTTACCTGTTGCTTGTTAAAATCTTTTGAGTTAATTTAAAAATAATTGCATCTGTGATTGTTGGATCTGGGAAGATAAGGATTAATATTGATATTGATAAATGGGTAACTATGATGGATCTCTATTTGGTGACTAGTTACAAGATTTATAAAAGTTCCCACTATGCGTATCCATAACTTTCTCAATATTCTGAAAAGAAGCTTCCCCCGCACCTACCCATAATCCTTGATAACCTCTATTTTATTTACTAAATACTTGTATTTTCATAAGTGGAATCACTTATTTGTCCTTTTGTGTCTTGTTTATTTCACTTAGCACAATGTTTTCAACATTAGTTCTGTTTCAGTATTTATCTGAATCTTCTTCCTTTCTAAGGATGAATTTACATTTTGTATTACATGTGTGCCACATTTTGTTTTTCTTTTTGTTTTTTTGGGGTTTTTTTTTTTTGGTAGAGTATGGGGTCACACCTGGTGATGCTCCGAGATTTCTCCTGGCTCTGCATTCAATACTTACTCCTGGTGGGCTTGGGGAACCATATGGATTGCCGGGGATCAAACCCAGGTTGCCCACATGCAAAACAAGCACCCTACTCACTGTATTATCATGCCAGCCCCAGACATTTTGTTTTTCTATTTATCTGAATAGGAAATGTTGATGGACATTTGGGTTTCCACCTTCTGGGCATTATCAATAAAACACCACTATGAATATTGATCTAGCAATATCTTGAGTTCTAAGTTGAGAGGTATGTATCTAGGAATAAAATTTATAAATTGTAAATAGATAACTTTTAGGGCTGGAGCGATAGCACAGCAATAGGGCGTTTGTCTTGCACGCAGCCAACATGGCCAACCCGAGTTCGATTCCTCCGCCCCTCTCGGAGAGCCCGGCAAGCTACCGAGAGTATCTCGCCCTCACAGCAGAGCCTGGCAAGCTCCCCATGATGTACTCGATATGCCAAACACAGTAACAACAAGTTTCATGATGGAGACGTTACTGGGCCCGCTCAAGCAAATCGATGAACAACGGGAGGGCCTTTACCTTTACCTAAATAGATAACTTTAAGTTTTGGAGAAGTTGCCCAAATGTTTACCGTGGCCAGCTCTACCATTCTTTCACTTAGCTGTCTATGAACTCTGAGCAAATGTTTCTTGGTAGACTAAAAGGAAAGAAGAATAATTTAATAAAATTTAGGGGCTGGAGCGATAGCACAGCGGGTAGACCTTGCACACAGCCAACCCAGGTTTGATTCCCAGCATCCCATATGGTCCCCTGAACATTGCCAGGAGTAACTCCTGAGTGCAGAGCCAGGAGCAACCCCTGTGCATCGCCAGGTATAACCTAAAAAGCAAAAAAAAAAAAAAAATTAATAAAATTTTAATAAATTAACAAAAATTTAAAAATTTAATGCAATTTTCTAACAAAATATTTTTATTATGTAGGTATATGGAGCTGCCATCCAGTTTTATGAACCCTACTCTCGGGAACTTCTAACAGAGAAACAGCTTATGCAGCTGGGCCTTTTGACACCTGTGGAGAGAAAAGTAGTCTCCAAATCTATCAATTCAAACAAATGCATTTGTTTACTCTCACACTGGCCTTTTTTTGAAGCTTTTAGAAAGTTTCTCATGTTTATCTACAAACTTTCTGTGTCTGGACCACATCCTCTTCCTATTGAAAAGTATGTATAATGATTTAGAAAGCTGTCTGATGGGAAAATGGGGTATAATATGTTCATTTCATTGTGTATCCCAGCTTTTTGAAAAGTTAGCCAAGATTCTGTGATTTCCAATACTGTTAATGATGGTTTCTTTAATGCGTGATTCCAGTATCCCACCCATCACCAGTGTACCCACCTCCCTCCTGCAAGTACCCCAATGCCCCTCCCTTTCAGCTCTTTCTTCCATAAACTCAGTTGTGTGGATCAGTTTTCCTGTTGCATTGCCTTTGGCCCTTTGTTGCATCCTTGCTGTATATCTTTAAGCTCAACACAGAGAGAGATCATTTTGTATTTGTTCCTTGCCTTGTGATTTTATTTAGCACGTATCCAAACTTTTTAGCAATACAGTTGAAAGGAAAAGAGTCACAGTAATCCTATATTTCCCTTGCTCCCTTCTTCACTTGAATAATTGTGAATTTTATATTATAGAGTGGCATTAATGTTAGCCAAAAAAACTTTTTTTAAGAATTCAGCAGAAGGAACTCCTCACATATATTGTACTTGTGTTTTTCTGTTCATTCTGTATTAACTTAGAGAAAAGATTGCGTTATTACACATACATATTCCAGCCATACAAATGTTTTTTTCATATTCTAACTATGGACTTACTTAAATCAAGGTATAGAGTTAATTAATGTTAAAAGTGAAGTTTTGATTTAAGTATTGACAGAATTCTACTTGTTTCCCTTTTTGATTTGTAGTTCCTATCGCCACGGAAATCAAGAGAAATGTATATGAAGTTACCCTTTTTTTTTAAAACAAAACTCATCTTTCTGACCTATTATGGTTTTAAATTTTTTTTATTAGAAATATTTTTGGTTCTTACTAACCAAGAGTATCTCGCCCGCACGGCAGAGCCTGGCAAGCTACCCGTGACGTATTCGATATGCCAGACACAGTAACAACAAAGTCTCCAATGGAGATGTTACTGGGCCCGCTCGAGCAAATCGATGATCAACGGGAGGGCCTTTATTTTATTTTACTAACCAAGAGCTGTCAAGAGCTTTGTGAAAAGGTATTATAGAATATATAAACAGATTTTTTTTAATTTCAAAAATTTGATAGCAGAAATAATATCAGTGAAACATACTACTTTAGTGGATAAGATGGAGTAATTATCTGTTAGTATTAAAATAATGCTGTTTAAATATCAGCTTTCCAAAGTAGTACTATTGTAGGAATATGGCTCAGCGTAGAACATTTTCCTTGCCTGTATGAGGCTCCAAGTTTAATCCCCAGCACCCCTCCTCTCCCTCCAACAAAAAGCAGTACTCTGAGGACTAACGGGACTAGTTCAGTGACAGAATATTTATGCTTAACAAGAATATTCCTCCGCCCCTCTCAGAGAGCCTGGCAAGCTACCGAGAGTATCTCACCTGCACGGCAAAGCCTGGCAAGCTCCCCGTGACGTATTCAATATGCCAAACACAGTAACAACAAGTCTCATGATGTAGACGTTACTGGGCCCGCTTGAACAAATCGACGAACAACGGGAGGACCATGACCGTGAAGAATATTTATGCTTAATCTCCAATACTCCCCTGTCCCCACAAAATAAAAAGAATAGATGAATGTCTGCATAAGCACTGCTATTTGATAGAGAAATAACCCTGACTGGATTTTTTGTACCTAGAATGCTTATCTAACGCTTCATGTTCTAATTTTAACTTTCAACTGCAGATTAACTTTCTTTGAAGTGAAATTTAATGTTCATAATTAACTAGTGACCTTTCAAAAAATTAAGGTTTGTTATGTGATGTTTTTTTATGTAAGGTAATAATTTGTATTTTAGTGACTCCTAAGAACTCAAAACTTTAGGGAATATTATTTACAGGTAGAAAAGTAGGGTTAGTGGTTTGCCCAAGATTATAAAAAGAGAACCATATTAATATTTAATATCAAGTTCATAATTAGGATTAAATTCTACATTATTCATATATCACATTTGTTCCCTTCTGGCAATGGTAACTGGTTCAATAAAAATTGGCGTTCTTTATGAAAACCTTTTATTTATATACCACTTAATGACAATGGGATATATTAAAGATTTTATATATTTTTAAGATTTTTTTTAGGTTTTTTTAAGATTCGATAAAATCTGTGAAACATTTTAGAAAAGCAGTTGTAATCTTTATTTCAAATTTTTTTCTAGGCACATTTCACATTTTATGCAAAACATCCCTTTTCCTTCACCACAAAGACCAAGAATCCTTGTACAGGTAAGCAAAAAAGAGTATATTTGAGGGGATCTCTGCATATGTTCATTCAAGTCATTAAAGAGTAGATCCTATGGGCCTCTGGGTTTTAGGTGGAGCAGTATGCATTCAGCAGGCTCTTGAGTTTCCTGTATTTTATATCTTAAGTATGAGCACCTTTATGCTGTTTGGTTGGATTTATTTAAAAGGTAAAGGTAAAGGCCCTCCCGTTGATCATCGATTTGCTCGAGCGGGCCCAGTAACGTCTCCATTGGAGACTTTGTTGTTACTGTGTCTGGCATATCGAATACTCTCGGTAGCTTGCCGGGCTCTCCGAGAGGGGCGGAGGAATCGAACTTGGGTCGGCCATGTTGGCCGTGTGTAAGGCGAATGCCCTACCCGCTGTGCTATCGCTCCAGCCCTACTTTTTAAATTTTGGTTGCTTATAATTGGATAATTATAATCCTTGGATTCATGCTTTATTATAATTAGACCATATATAGAATTTACCTAATTTTAATAAAGACCAGAATTAAATTATTGGTACATTCTTAACATCAAAGTAAGTAACAAATATTAAGTAGGGAATGAGCTGTAATTGGAAGGGTAAGTCATCTTACCTAGGGTTCTTCAAACAATCTGTGCAAAAGGACCAGTTTCTTTTTTTTGAGTTTAGCGGCAGACCTATATGCCTTTATACATTCTAACATGCTCAAATTACCATGTAGGATCAATAGACACAACAGAGAAATAGCTTGTTCAAGACATGAATTCATTGATTGTGTGGGAATAGTATCAGATATGTTACTAAATGCTTTGCTTTCCATTTATATACTCTCATCCTGAACCATTAATAGTATTAGAACTCAGATCCGTAGGAGCAAGCAGCTTAATTTTTTTTTTCTTTTTGGGTCACACCCGGCAATGCACAGGGGTTACTCCTGGCTCTGCACTCAGAAATCACTCCTGGCTGTGCTCAGGGGACCATATGGGATGCTGGGAATCGAACCCGGGTCGGCCGCATGCAAGGCAAATGCCCTACCCACTGTACTATCTCTCCAGCTCCCGTTAAATTTTTTTTTAAAGATGCTACCAACATTGTATATGATATTGCGGCATTATATCAAATGTTAATATTGAATGTACGTCAGTACAATTGTTATATATTAAGTAACTGCCAGGTACTTACTGGTGTGGAAACTTGATGCTTTTATAAAGTGATTTTATTATATTTAAACAGCAATTATAAAGAGTTACCTGAATCTGGGCCAGAGCGATAGTACAGCGGGTAGGACACGTGCCTTGCGTGTGGCCGACCCGGGTTCGATCCCCGGCATCCCGTATGGTCCCCCAAGCACTGCCAGGAGTAATTCCTAGTGCAGAGCTAGGAGTAACCCCTGAGCATCGCTGGGTGTGACCCAAAACGCAAAAAAAAAAGTTACCTGAATCATAATTCAGTTGGATTATTTATTTCCTTGAAACGGGAACAATACATTCGGGACTGGAGAGATAAAACTGGTTTTTGTGTAGGAGTCTTGGGTTGGATCCCTGACACCACTTGGTCCTCTGTGTAACCCCAGGAATAGCCCTTAAGCACCCCCAGGTCTTGTGAATAGCACTTGGGAGTCCTTCATGATTTTCTTCCATACTGGGAACTGAGCATATGACTCTTAAGACACATGTATGAGCCCTATCTCTAGTCCCCGTTACTGCAAAAGGAAAAAAAAAAGAGTGGTAGAGTAACTCTGAACAAATATAGCTATTTATTATATCTTTGTCTTTCCAAAATATTATCAGTCTGCGTCTTAAGCTATTTTGCATTTTTGATACTTCAGTTCTGTATATTTAGGTTTTAAAATTGACTGGATTTTTTTTTTTTTAAGCTGTCAGTCCATGATGCCTTAATATTATCGCAGCCAGTTTCTACACCTTTGCCACTAAGGTAACTAACTGTAATCTAAAATGATGTATTTATTCACTTGGAACAGATACTTAAAAACATTTTAAGGATTTGGATTAAGAAGCTATGTGTTAATTTCACAAACTATATAAAGGATAGCCATACTGTTTCTAACTTTGATAGCTGGAAAGATAGTGGAATTAATTTTAAAAATTTAAATTTTAAAAATTTAAAATTTTAAAAATTTTAAAAAAACCTTGGGGCTGGGAGTTGGATCAGATAACTGGAGTGTATGGTTTGGATTTGATACCCTGGAGTGCATCCTGGATTTGATACCCAGTACCACATGGTACCTTAGTTCTGCTGCCTTTGTTCTGCTACCCAAACACCACTGGGTATCGCCCAGCACAAAGCAAAAAAGGGAAATACCTTAAGAACAAAATACTCTTTTTTACTGAAGAATAGTTTGAATCTCTTATTTTATTTGAGTAGCTACTTTTCACTAATAACTAAAGGCTTAAAATAGACATTAGAGTCTCAGTGTATTAATATGTAGGGAATAATTTGACAAGAAAAATAAAATCTTAATATTTTCACTATTTTCATGGAATGGTTCCTTATCATCTCTTTTCTTTCTTTTTCTAGTGGAGCCAACTTTAGCACCTTGTTAATGAATTTGGGTCCTGAGAATTGTGCAACACTGCTGCTCTTTGTTTTACTTGAGAGTAAGATTCTGTTGCATTCTCTTAGGCCAGCTGTGTTGACTGGAGTTGCTGAAGCTGTTGTAGCTGTAAGTATAGAATTTTTCTTTAGTATGGACTGTTGAGAATTTTTTACTCTAAAGGGAAGTATCTTTTAATGGAAGCAGCTTGGAAATTGCCAGTAAAAGTTGAACATCAATATAATTGTGTGGCAAAAAGAAATAGTACTTATAAAGAAAAAATGGTGAAATTTAAAAGTTTCAATTTTTTATAATTTATCAGAATCTACATGACTGCATAATAGTAAAAATTCTGATTGACACTTATTCTATGAGAAGTTCTGGCCAGCTTCAATTGTCCTAAAGTCATACAAATGAATTTTAAAATTAACTTCCTCAGTTTTAACCTTCAATGATTGTGAGCCAGTGGCATAGTCAATTCTAAGTCATGATAAAATTGGATAATTTATAGAGACTCAGCGTTTGGTAAAATATCCATAAAAATTAAATCAGATCCCAGAAAGATAGTACAGGGGCTAAGACACCTATCTCAAATGGCCAGCTTAGGTTCCGTCCCCCGCACCGCAAATGGTACCCTGAGCATTGCCAGGAACGATCTGAACACAGAGCCAGGAGTAATCTCTGACCATTGCAGATGTGGCCTTCACCTCCCACCCTCCAAAATACGAAGTAAATTCATTTTCCACAATATTTAAATACTTTTGATTCTCATTGAAATTTGAGATCTAAATTTAGAGGGCTTGATTGGTCCTGGTATAAAAGTTCCACTTTTCTATTATTCCATGATGTTCCCTATACACTTTGTTTAATTTTGAATAGTTGACTTTCCTCTCTTCCCTCTTGCATTTAAGAATATAACTAATGGAGGTAAGAACATTGTCTTTTAAATTTTTTAAAACTCTATTATGGGCCAGAGCAATAGCGCAGTGGGTAGGGCGTTTGCCTTGCATGAGGCCAACCTGGGTTCGATCCCTGGCATCCCATGTGGTCCCCCGGGCACTGCCAGGAGCAATTCCTGAGTACAGAGCCAGGAATAACCTCTGAGCATCACTGGGTGTAACCCAAAAAGTTTAAAAAAAAAAACTGCTCTTCTCAGCATATAACAGTATAATAACACAAAGTAAGCACTTAATAAATAGTTAAACCAACAAAAGAATATGTCTTAATGATCTTAATATCTGGTGAAGGAAATATTGCTAGAACAAAAAACTTATGATGGCTTATAGGGATAGCTGTCTTCATTATATATCAATTTTCTATGTTTTATTCCATGTAAAATTAAAAGTAATATGAAAATATTTAAATTAGCAGTTTTAGGAAGTTCCCATTTGAATATTCTTTCCTCTAAAATGTTGATGTTTAATTCTGTCCTTTTGAGGCTTTGAGGCTTCTTGATTTTAGCGACACAATCAAGAACAGAAACATCACATCTCATGAAATACAACATTGCATAAACTATATATACCCAATGGTAGAGAACTGTCTGAATAGCATGCAAAATAACTAATAAAGGAGGATTTGGTGTTTGTTAATATGGTGTTTAAAGAGAACATTAAAAAGAATGGTGAATGGGGCCAGGGACTTAGTGAATTGACTTAGTGATGTGGACAACCCGGATTAAATTCATAGCGCCACTCTTGGTCCCTCAAGCACTGCTAAGAATATTTCCTGAACACAGAGCCAGGAGTAAGTCCTGAGGACTGCTAGGTGTGGCCCCAATCCAAAAGAATGAATTAAGAATATTTGTATATTATATATAGTTTTGTTCTTTCAAAAAGAATGATTTTCTTATCAAAAATTATCAAAGACCCAAAAGCAAAAATGGATAAAACAAGTATTTTAAGAAAGTGGCTCTAATTGCACAAAAACAAGGCTGTCATATTTGGAATAATGATTATCAAACCCAGCCAATGCTCAGGGGTTACTCCTGGCTCTGCACTCAGGAATTACTCCTAGCGGTGCTTGGGGATCATATGGGATGCCGGTGATTGAACCCAGATCAGCCGCATGCAAGGCAAATTCCCTACCCACTATACTGTCATTCCCGGTCCCTCCTATGATCATTTTAATCCATGATGATAGCTCAAAGGTTAGTGTACATGCTTTACATGTGGGAGCTCTTAGTTCCGCCCCACCACTACATCATGACCCCCTGAGCACCAAATTAGGAGTAGCTCTCAAACTGCCAGATGTGACCCCAAAACAAACATTATGACCAAGATATATGACTCTTAAACCAGAAAACTTTGTTCTTATTCTGGATTACAAATGTTATGTGTTGCAGGGATCTTATTTACTCTTATAACTATCATCAAGAGCAGTGCTCAGCACATATTTTTAATTACTTGATATATGAATGATGAAAAATAAGTTGTTCTAATAGCACTGTCTGTCTGCTCTGTCTGTCCTTCCATTGTTCATTGTTTTGCTCGAGTGGCCCAGTAACGTCTTCATTGTGAGACTTGTTACTGTGTTTGGCATATTGAATACGTCATGGGTAGCTTGCCAGGCTTTGCCATGCAGGCGAGATACTCTCGGTAGCTTGGCAGGCTCTCCGAGAGGGGTGGAGGAATCGAACCTGGATCATCCGGATAGGCCAAATGGAAGGCAAATGCCCCACCCGCTGTGCATAACTGTCAGAGTTGCTAAGTGCTCTAAGTGTTTCTTTGGGGTGTGAGTAATGAAGAATAACTTAAGAATTGATAAAGGCTTACCAAATAAAGGATGTTTGGAGGATCCTCCCAGGAGGGGAGATGCATGTAGAAAGTAGACTATGGACTGAACATGTTTGCCACTCAATGCCTCTTTTGCAGACCACAACACCCAAAAGGAGAGAGAGAACACAGGGGATTGCCCTGCCACAGAGACAGGAGGGATGGGGGGATGGGGGTGGGAGGGATATTATCCATGGTGGTGGAAAATGGGCACTGGTGGAGGGATGGGTATCTGATCATTGTATAATTGAAACCAAAGCACAAAAAATTGTAAATCTACAACTTTATTTATTTATTTTTTTTTAATTTTTTTTTATTTATTGAATCACTGTGGGAAAGGTTACAAAGCTTTCAGGTTTATGTCTCAGTCATGCAAATATCAAACACATTTCCCTTTACCAATACTTATTTTTTACCATGAAGAACCCCAATAAAACCCCACCCCCCACCCCTCCCCATCCCTGTGAGGCAGATGAATTCTAGTTAACACTCTATCTGCTTTGATTAGATTCATTGTTTCAATAAAAGATTCACCACTATTATTTAGAGTTTACCCCCCCCCCCCCCAAATCAGACATGCTGAAAAAGCATTGTGAAGTGATTTGCTTTCTACGGCTGGGTTCAAGAATTAAATGTTGGTTTTGAGTTTCTGCTCTTTTACCTATTGACCCTGGAAGTATTTCTACTGAAAGTCAGATAGTTAAGAAATTGGTTTCTGTGTTCTGGAGTCGTGGCCGTGCTGGAGAGCCGCTCGCGGGGGGCAACCGGTGGCCTCGGTAGGGCGTGAAGGGCGGAGCGAAACGCCCCCCTTCCCATGAGGTTCTAGTCGCCCCCACACTTGCGGCTCATACCTGCTGTCCACAAGGCTCCCATGTGGCCGCCATCTTTCTTTCCAGAGAGGAGAGGGCGAATGGGGCAACACCCTTTCCCCTCCGGCAGACTTGATGGCCTGGATCAATGCATAGTCCGTTCACTTTTCTGCTCCAAGCTGCTGGGTTCTGCATTAAGTCCTTGTGCTTCTGGGGCCGGGGCCGTGGCCGTGCTGGAGAGCCGCTCGCGGGGGGCAACTGGTGACCTCGGTAGGGCGTGAAGGACGGACCAGAATGCCCCCCTTCCCATGAGGTTTTAGTCGCCCCCACACCCCCGGCTCATACCTGCTGTCCACAAGGCTCCCATGTGGCCGCCATCTTTCTTTCCAGAGGGAGGAGGGCGGAAGGGAGCAACACCCTTTCCCCTCTGGGCAGAAATGATTGCCTGGATTAACGCATAGTCCTTTCACTTTTCTGCTCCAAGCTGCTGGGTTCTGCATTAGGTCATTGTGCTTCTGGGGCTGTGGCCGTGCTGGAGAGCCGCTCGTGGGGGCAACTGGTGGCCTCGGTAGGGCGTGAAGGGCAGACGGAAATGCCCCCCTTCCCATGAGGTTTTAGTCGCCCCCACACTCGTGGCTCATACCTGCTGTCCACAAGGCTCCCATGTGGCCGCCATCTTTCTTTCCAGAGAGGAGAGGGCGAATGGGGCAACACCCTTTCCCCTCCGGCAGACTTGATGGCCTGGATCAATGCATAGTCCGTTCACTTTTCTGCTCCAAGCTGCTGGGTTCTGCATTAAGTCCTTGTGCTTCTGGGGCCGTGGCTGTGCTGGAGAGCCGCTCGTGGGGGGCAACTGGTGACCTCGGTAGGGCGTGAAGGACGGACCAGAACGCCCCCCTTCCCATGAGGTTTTAGTCGCCCCCACACTCCTGGCTCATACCTGCTGTCCACAAGGCTCCCATGTGGCCGCCATCTTTCTTTCCAGAGAGGAGAGGGCGAATGGGGCAACACCCTTTCCCCTCCGGCAGACTTGATGGCCTGGATCAATGCATAGTCCGTTCACTTTTCTGCTCCAAGCTGCTGGGTTCTGCATTAAGCCCTTGTGCTTCTGGGGCTGTGGCCATGCTGGAGAGCCGCTCGTGGGGGGCAACTGGTGACCTCGGAAGGGCGTGAAGGACGGACCGGAACGCCCCCCTTCCCATGAGGTTTCAGTCGCCCCCACACTCCCGGCTCATACCTGCTGTCCACAAGGCTCCCATGTGGCCGCCATCTTTCTTTCCAGAGAGGAGAGGGCGAATGGGGCAACACCCTTTCCCCTCCGGCAGACTTGATGGGCTGGATCAACGCATAGTCCGTTCACTTTTCTGCTCCAAGCTGCTGGGTTCTGCATTAAGTCCTTGTGCTTCTGGGGCCGTGGCCGTGCTGGAGAGCCGCTCGTGAGGGGTGACTGGTGACCTCAGTAGGGCGTGAAGGACGGACTGGAACGCCCCCCTTCCCATGAGGTTTTAGTCGCCCCCATACCCCCAGCTCATACCTGCTGTCCACAAGGCTCCCATGCGGCCGCCATCCTTCTTTCCAGAGAAGAGAGGGCGAATGGGGCAACACCCTTTCCCCTCCGGCAGACTTGATGGCCTGGATTAACGCATAGTCCTTTCACTTTTCTGCTCCAAGCTGCCGGGTTCTGCATTAAGTCCTTGTGCTTCTGGGACTGTGGCCGTGCTGGGGAGCCGCTCGTGGGGGGCAACTGGTGACCTCGGTAGGGCGTGAAGGACGGACCAGAACGCCCCTCTTCCCATGAGGTTTTAGTCGCCCCCACACCCCCGGCTCATACCTGCTGTCCACAAGGCTCATGGTGATGGAAAATGGGCACTGGTGGAGGGATGGGTATCTGATCATTGTATAATTGAAACCAAAGCACAAAAAATTGTAAATCTACAACTTTAAAAAAAATAAAATAAAATAAAGGGAAAAAAAAAGAAAAAAAAAAGAATTGATAAAGGCTTTAAAAAAGATGGGAGAATTTTCATAGATCAGTAAAAATTTATCAAATGAATAAAATGTTAATATAATTTTATAATTGCCTTTTTTTGTTAAAATTTGTCTTTTTAAACTACATATACATTTATGTTAGAGAAAAATGCTGGTGAAAGATTCTTGAGCTATGTTCCTGATTAGTATTTTAAGAAGCCAGGATTTATTGAAGTTAGATCATCTTATGTTTAGGTAGTGAGAACATTCTTATTGAAAATTTTTTGTTGACTAGTGTTTTATTACCAAGAGGGTCATTAATTCAGAGTTGTTGTTTGTTTTTTTGTTTTTTTGGGGGGGTCACCCCCGGCAATGCTCAGGGGTTACTCCTGGCTCATGCACTCAGGAATCACTCCTGGCAGTGCTCGGGGGACCATATGAGATGCTGGGAATTGAACCTGTGTCGGCCATGTTGGCTGCGTGCAAGGCAAACGCCCTACCCGCTGTGCTATTGCTCCAGCCCCTGGAGTTGTTTTTTGTTTTTTTTTTTAATTTAAATCATTGGTGCTCTTAAAGTTGGATTTTAGTCATGGATATTTTGAGAATTAATTGAAGGCTAACTCACAAGAGATAAAAATTTATGAGCTTGTTTTATATTTGGGGGGATTTTTCTCTCATCTTTTCATCTTTGATTTTTTTCCATATAATAGGACTATGAATTTACTATAGGCATTAAAAAAAGAATTAGCATACTAAGAGCTATTAGCATTTACATTGCTCGGTAATCTTTATGCTCGAAGATTTTATAGTTTTATAGGGTTTCTTATCGTCATTTAATTTTTAGAACAAAATTTAAAATAAAAGAAATTGTTTAATTGCTTTTAAATGAGACTTTTAAGTAATTTATTAATAACAGAATCTTTGCTGCAAATTTAAAATTTGGTTAATTTTTAAAAAACTTTTTCCCCAGATGATCTTTCCGTTTCAGTGGCAATGCCCGTATATTCCCCTTTGTCCTCTTTCACTGGCGGCAGTGCTCAGTGCACCTTTACCATTCATAGTTGGAGTTGACTCAAGATATTTTGATCTTCATGACCCACCACAAGATGTTGTTTGCATTGACTTGGATACAAACATGTTATATATGTAAGTTGACTCTTAAAATTTTTTTTTCTGTGATAGCTCATTGAAGGCATTTAGAAATGTGTTAATTTTTTAAAAAATTATAGTTAAGATAACATGGTTACAATAATGTTGATGTTTATGGTTTTGATATATATAGCTACTGCATGTAATTCTCCATCACCAGGCGCCCAAGATCCTCCACCACTGTCTGTGGTACTCTAGTCCACCTCTTCCCTCCTCCCGCCTGCTTGGTTACCCCCTCCCACTCCTCCGCCTTGGTAATCTCATTTTTGTAATCCAGGGCCAAGGGTTTGTCATTTCTATTTGGTTTCTCTGTAAACCACAGATGAGTGAGATCATCTAAAACTTGTTCTTCTCTCAACTTATTTCACTTAAAATTATATATGCCAGTTCTATGCAAGTTGCAGCAAACTGCAAGATTTTATATTTGCTTGTAGTTGAGTGGTAGTAGTATACATACACACACACACACACACACACATACGTACATATACACACACAATATAATACAAATTCTCTCTCCACTTATCTGTCATTAGACATTGAGTTATTTCCATATCCTAGCAGTTGAACTTACTACAGCAATGAACATAGATATGAATGTTTCATTTTAAGTTTTTGAGTGCTTTGGGCTAGATGCCAAGAAGTAGGATTGCTGAGTCATAATGAAAACTCTATTGCTTTCTTGAGATGTCTTCATATTTTCTATAGATGCTAAACAAGACAGCATTTCTACCAACTAGCCAATTGAGGGTTCCTTTTATATCAAATCCCTACCAACACTGTAAAGCTGTGTTGTTTGACTGTAGCACTCCCATTATTCATCAGTTTGCTCAAGCGGGCACCAGTAACGTCTCCATTGTGAGACATGTTACTGTTTTTGGCATATCGAATCCATCATGGGTAGTTTGCCAGGCTTTGCCGTGTAGGCAGGATACTGTCGGTAGCTTGCCTGGCTCTCCGAGAGGGGCGAAGGAATCAAACTGGGACTGACCGTGTGCAAGGCAAACACCATACCCGCTGTGCTATTGCTCCAGCCCAAAGTCATATGTAACTTTTAAAAAATGTATGTACCTGTTTGAGTTAGTAACAATTTAGTATAGACTGATACCTATACTAAAACAGAAAAAAACTATATTCCATCAGGCAAGGAGTTTGCCTTGCACACAGGTGACCCAGGTTCTATCCCTGGCATCCCTGAGCCCTGCCAGGAGTGATCCTTGAGAGCAGAGCCAGTAGTAAGCAAGCACTAAGCACAGATAGGTGTAACCCAAAAACAACAGCAACGACAACAAAATCTGAAATAAAACATTGTAATAATATACAGCTATTTTTAAGAAACAGTCTTTAAGAATGCACTTGAGGAGCTGGAGCTATAGCAAAACGGGTAGGGTGTTTGCCTTGCACGTGGCCGACCGGGTTCGATTCCCAGCATTCCCATATGGTCCCCTGAGCACTGCCAGGAGTAATTCCTGAGTGCAAAGCCAGGAGTAACCCCTGAGCATTGCCAAGTGTGACCCAAAAACACAAAACAACAACAAAAAAAAGAATGTACTTGAACTCAAGGGCTGGAACAATAGCACAGCAGTTAGGGCTTTTGACTTGCTTGCGGGTGACACGGCCGGCCGACCCGAGTTCATTCCTCCACCCCTCTCGGAGAGCCTGGCCAGCTACCCATGATGTATTCGATATGCCAGACACAGTAACAATTGTCACAATGGAGACGTTACTGGGCCCGCCAGAGCAAATTGATGAACAATGGGAGGACAGTGACAGTGACTTGAACGCAGCCTCTTTAGAGGATAATTAATAATGAATGTCAGCATTTCAAATGTATATAACTCTGATTCAGTGATTCTGCTTCTTAAAGATAAAAGCTGTTTATAGGACTTTGTGAGGGGGGGACACGGATTGGGGGGAGCACACCCAGTATTGCTTACTCCTAGCTCTGTGCTCAGGGATCACTCCTGGCAGAGCTTGCAGGACTTTCTGTGGTGCTGGGGATCCAACCTGGATTGACAGCAAACAAAGACAAATATCCTGTACTCTCTCTAGTGCATCTTTAAGGATTTTTAAATTAAGAATCCAAGATGATTCAGCACTTATTTCCAGATGCTACATTTTTTGAGAAATAGGATGGGGGGGGCTCCCAAATGGTGTTCTGGGAGCTGTTCCTGGCAATTTTTGATCATCAGGGCTGGAAATTTAATACTGGGGCTGAGGATGTGGTGGTGTTAGAACCCTGCTGTGTTTGGTATTACCGGAGTTACCCTGGTAGTGTTTGGGGGCCAGCAACGCTATCTCTATCCAGTGGTACTCTGAGACCTGCATGGCTGTACCTGGCTAGGCAGGGAATGGAGTGAAAGGCAAGGGTTCAGTTTGCTGCTGCTGATCCAACTGGGTTTGGGCACATGTGTGCCCGAAACCCTATACTATATCTGAGGTCCATTTTACCATATTTTAATCTGATAAAGGGTAACAAAAATTCAGTTGTTTGATCATTGTTTGGTACCATTGTCTAAATTTCCCCATATGGATGTTCTTAGAGGTACAATTTTTTATTTATCCCAATTCTGTAATCTTGCATATAGCCTCAGAGTAGAACTAGCTGATTTTATAGGGAAATATGTGTTTTTTTTCCTTTCTGATGATTTTTGTAAATGAGGATCTAATTGACTTTAGAGCTTCATAATTGGATGGTAGGTTTACACATGGGGTGTATGATTTTGTTTCTGTTATTGGAGGTTGAGGAGACACCCAGGATCTTACGTGTTGCTGGGGACTGAACTTGTGGCTGCTACATTGGGCTCCAGACCTTGGAACCATCTTTTCTTTCTTTCTTTCTTTCTTTCTTTCTTTCTTTCTTTCTTTCTTTCTTTCATTTTTATTAGTGAAACACCATGAGGTACAGTTGTAGATTTACAAATTTTTGTGCTTGGGTTTCAATTATACAATGATCAAGTACCCATCCCTCCACCAGTGCCCATTTTCCACCACCATGGATAATATCCCTCCCACCCCCATCCCCCCCATCCCACTTTGCCTCTGTGGCAGGGCATTCCCTTTTGTTCTCTCTCTCCTTTTGGGTGTTGTGGTCTGCAAAAGAGGCATTGAGTGGCAAACATGTTCAGTACATAGTCTACTTTCAACATGCATTTCCCCTCCTGGGAGGATCCTCCAAACACCCCTCATTTGGTGCTCCTTTCTCTATCTGAACTGCCCTTTCCCCTAGAATACCCGGCTGGCCTCTAAGCTATGGAGTAATCCTCCTGGTGTTGATCTCAGCTATTCTTGGGTATTAATTTTGTTGCTTTATATCCCCCAGATGAATGCAATCTTTCTATGTCTATCCCTCTCTTTCTGACTCATTTCGCTTAGCATGATACTTTCCATATTGTACCACTTGTATGTAAATTTCATGACTTCATCTTTTCTAAGAGCTACATAGTACTCCATTGTGTAGATGTACCAAAGTTTCTTTAACCAGTCATCTGTTCTTGGGCACTCAGGTTTCTTCCAGTTTCTGGCTATTGTAAAGAGTGCTGCAATGAACAAACAATTGCAGATGTCACTTCGACTATACTTTTTTGCCACTCTGGGATATATTCCCAGGAGTGGTATTGCTGGGTCAAATGGGAGCTCAATTTCTAATTTTTTGAGAAACGTCCATACTGTTTTCCAAAAGGGCTGAACCAGTCGGCATTCCCACCAACAGTGAAGGAGTGTCCCTTTCTCGCCACATCCACGCCAGCATCGGTTGCTTTTGTTCTTTTGAATGTGGGCCAGTCTCTGAGGTGTGAGATGGTATCTCATTGTGGTTTTGATCTGCATCTCCCTGATGATTAATGATGTAGAGCATTTTCTCATGTGCTTTTTTGAGATTTCTTCTTTGAGAAAGTTTCTGTTCATTTCATTGCCCCATTTTTTGATGGGGTTGGATGTTTTCTTCTTGTGGAGTTCAACCAGTATTTTGTATATCCTGGATATCAACCCCTTGTCAGATGTGTATTCGGCGAATATCCTTTCCCATTCTGTAGACTGTCTTTGTATTTTGGGAACCATCTTTTCTTTCTCATAGGATTTTTTGTTTAGATCAGTTTTAGAACTGAGTTAACAAAATATCCTTCCCCTGTCCTTATTGGGCTCTTCCTGGCACAGTGCTCAGGGTCAATCGCATGATGCTAAAGGGACCATATGGAGCCACATCAGCTCTAACTCTGAGCTTTTTTCTTCAACCCAAATTCTTATTTCTACTCTAATCCCCTTTATTTTGGAACGCAAAGTCTCAGAAGCCTTCCAATAGGTAGTTTAAAGCATGAAGTCCATTTGGTTTGATACTTATTCTGAAATGTAGCTTTTGAAGCAAGCCTTCACTATTATATTTGGAACACCTACATTGAAAGTCCATATTGAAGGTTATGGTGAGATAACAACATTTGAGGTTGATTGACATTAGAAGAGAATCTAACTATTTCCTATTTTTGTATTCATTGTAACTCGTAAAAACATAATACATATCATTATACATTTATTTAATAGATCAGATGAAAAGAAGAGTATGAACTGGAAACAACTTCCCAAAAAGCCATGTAAAAATCTACTCAGCACCTTGAAGAAATTGTATCCCCAGCTGTCTACAGGTAATTATGAGGACAGGTGTCCAGAATCTCACACATGTGAAGCATGCGCTTGACTGCTGAGCTATATCCTATATCCTGGCAAAGGATTTTTTGTTTTGTCTTGGATTTTTTTGGTTGGGGGTGAGCAGCACACCCAGTGTGCTCACATTCTACTCCTGAGTCTGGGCTCAGGAACATTCCTGGTAGGGGTCAGGGAACCAATGGAGAGGTGGAGATTGAGTCTGCTGTGTGCAAGACAAGTGCCCTACCCAAGGGTAAGGCACAAAAATTTCTCCAGCTGACCAAGAATTATTTTTAACGGAAAGGTGTATATGAGAAAATTCTTGATTTTTTTCAATGATAGGGACCTCTCCTTGGGGGTACTTGGCAGGGAAATGGGTGGGGGCTCCTTCCAGTAGAACTTGGTCTAGCAAGTGCTATTGATAGTGCAGGCCTGAAGGTTTTGTGCTGGCGCCTGCTGGTGCCTGCGGGCCACCAGTTCCGTATCCAGCTAGTGTTGAGAGGTATCTCCCCAAGTCTGGTTCATTTATATTTATTTTCTTTTAAGAGTGAGATAGTCTGGGGATTGATTCCCTGGTCTCACAAATGCCAGGTTGTCTTCTACCATTTTTAGTTATCTCCCTTTCCCAAGAAAAATCACCTTGTTCTGCGTAATAAGGAGTCTCATATAACAAAAATCTGATAGTAATTAATTTTTGAGGTTCATGATTTTATTTGGAGCCTATATTCTGTGTTCTGTTTTTCTGTTATTAACTCCTGCCAATGATTTTTCTACTTTTTGCAGGGTTGGAGGGTAAGTGGGTTTGGCTCACACCTGGCTGTGCTGAAGGCTTACTTCTGGTGGGGCCATAACAGTGGTAGAGCGGGTAGGGTATTTGCCTTACATGCAGCTCTTTCAAATTCAATCCTGGCACACTCTATAGTCCCCTGAGCACCTTCTAGTGTGATCCCTGAGCACAGGGACAGACATAAGTCCAAAAGCAAAAAAAAAAAAAGACATTCCAGGCTGTGTATTCAGAGATCACTCCTGGTGGTGCTTAGGGGATCATACGTGGAGCCTGGGATCGTAATTGGGTTGTCCACCCAATAGTATAAGCAAAGCAAGCACCATATTCCCTGTACTATTTCTCCAGCTCACCTTTACTTTTTTTTTTTTTTTTTTTGCTTTTTGGGTCATACCTGGTGATGCACAGGGGTTACTCTTGGCTCTGTATTCAGGAGTTACCCCTGGTGGTGCTCAGGGAACCATATGGGATGCTGGGAATCAAACCCGGGTCAGCCGCGTGCAAGGCAAACACCCTACTCGCTGTGCTATCTCTCCAGCCCCTCACCTTTACTTTTTAAATTATGTTTGTGTATGTCACTACTGGTGGTGCTCAGGGAACCCATTAGTGCCTGACGTTGAGCTTGGAACTCCCAAAGCAAAGCAAGAGCTCCAGCACTTTGATCTATTTCCCCAAGTCTGGTTCATTTATATTTATTTTCACTTAAGAGTGAGAGGAGTTCCAGGAACTGATGGACTTTATTTGTCTATTTAATTGTTGAGTCAGATATATAAAATTTTGTAATTAATGCCAATTTTTTCTTCTACATTTATTAGTTCATCGAAAAACCCAGGAGGGTTCAGCAGTTGAGATGACTCCAATCGAAGCAGACTTTTCTTGGCAAAAGAAGATGACGCAACTTGAGATGGAAATCCAAGAGGCGTTTTTACGCTTTATGGCATCCATATTAAAAGGATATAGAACATACCTCAAACCAATTACAGAGGCTCCTTCAAATAAAGCCACGGCTGCTGATTCATTGTTTGACCGACAAGGTAAGGACATTGAAATATGCAGGTTTATTGAAATGAAAAATGTTTTGTATTTGATGTTACTTCCCCCTCTCCCCCGAATCACTCAGTAGATTCATAGAAATTTACACTAAAATGTAATGAACTTTGAGGTCAGAGAATTGGTACGGCGCTTGCTTTGCATTACATCCTAGGCACCCTAATATGGTCCCCTGAGCACCACTAGGAATGACCCCTGAGCAGCAACAGGCATGACCTAATTCCCCGTCCACCCTCTGAATAATATGCATGCATACATACATACATAGATAAGATGTAATGAACTTTACTCAGAACCTGTTCCCAGCTTTGCACTGAAAGGGGTTGGGGATCGCTTCTGGCAGGGTTCATGGGATCCGGATTGCTCCTGACAGGATTCAGTGGTGCTTGGAATTTATCCAGACTTCATATATGCTCAGCTTGTTCAGTTCTCTCTCTTCCCCCATAAATATAATTTCTTTTATTGTTTTATTTTAGTTCTTATTTTTGAGTTTTGGGCCCACACTGGACAGTGCTCAAGGCTTACTTCTGGTTCTGTGCTCAGTGATCACTCCTGGCAGGTTCAGGGCACTAAATGGGACCGGGAATCAAACTCGGGTTGACCTTGTGCAAAGCAAGCGCCTTAACTGGTGTTCTCCCTCTCTGTCTCTTGTTTAATTTTGAAGCCCCATATTTTCCCCTAAGAAAGCTGAAAACGAAGGTCTTTAGTTATGACGTATTAAACATGTTTGCTTATATTTACAGCACTATATAATCAGTTACTTAATTGGATTATAAACTGGTGATGGGGTTTTTAGGTGTTTCCTCAATTTTACATAATTCTTCGATACAGTAGGGATTTAAAAGATTCCTTAACAATTTATTGAATATAGTAGGGTTTGCTGTCAGGGATGGATGTGTAAATGGTCTGATCCAGCTTGTGAAACTTTTACGCATAAAAAATGGGAGGGATTTGCACATTGGTGTAGGTCCAGAGAAAGACAATGCATTCTTCTAAGATTATACTAATTCTCAGTTTGACAAAAGGACCACAAGGCATAAGATTTGAGACCATTGGCAAGAAAGTAATTGAAATGGTGGACACAGAGTTAAAAGTGGGTAGGAAGAAAAGTGAAGACAGAAGAGAGTAGTAGAACATGAAAGTGGGTTTCAGTGAGCCTGCTTCCACCTTTCCTGCCAAATCAAAAACATCTTGGTTGAGGGCTGGAGTGATAGTACAGTTGGTAGGCCATTCGCCTTGCGTGTGGCTGACTCGGGTTTAACCCCTGGCACCCCTTATATTGCCCTGAGTACTGCCAGGAGTGATCCCTGAGCACAGAGCCAGGAGTAAATCAGAAATAAATCCTGAGCACCATTTGTTGCTTTCAGGTTCATTTTGATTCAACCAAAAATACCAAATGGCCCCAAAACAAAACATCTTGGTTGGATGTCATTGAGCAAATCGAATATAGGTAATGGTCAGAGAGTAATATGTAAATTAGAAATATTGGAGGCAGAGCAGTTTCGAATGCAAGCATGAAAAAGCCAGGGGGCCTGTGACTGTAGATTTTGGTGATATAGATCGTAGATCATCGAATGTGTTTACTGTGCATATTTGTGCTATAGGAATGTGTTTGTGCCAAGGGTATCAAAGAATAATGATGGTAGAAGTTGGAGAGGTAAGAGTATTTTGAATTAGATGTTGTGGTCTTCTGTGAATGGAGAGAGGAGCCTTGAAGTCAAAGAAGATAATGATTATTAGGTGGGAATAGTCATATTCTTAAATCTTCATGAAGAGAAGAGATTTATATAAAAAAAATTACAGGAATATTTGGTCGCTTTGCAGAGGGTGAACATTGATTTTTCTCCTATGAAAATTATGAGTGTATCAGCGAAATTTCTGCTTGAAAGTTGGAGGGCTAGAGTTTCCTTTTAGGACATTCATATTTCAATGAAAAGGTTAAAGGTATGTTATTTTTTGTGGTTTAATCACAGAAAAAGAACCTTGGATACAAGAATGTCAATACTGGAGACTTTCGTAAATGGATATATAAAATTTTAAGTAATGTTTAATATCCAGTTCCACTTACGGTTTGAATTTAATTTTAATTTTGTTTGCTTCAGGATTTTTAAAAAGCCGAGATCGTGCATATACGAAATTCTACACTCTGTTAACCAAAACACAGATTTTTATTCGTTTTATTGAAGAATGTAGTTTTGTAAGTGATAAAGATACTGGATTGGCATTTTTTGATGACTGCATAGAAAAGGTAAAAGTGTGTCCTAAATCATTGTTAAGGAAAAACTTTAATAATCATAGTTATCATTATTTTTCCTGCCTTCTCTCTTCCCTTCTCTTGTTGTGGTGGTGGTGGTAGAGGTCAGAGATTTACTCATTCAGTTCTGGTGCTCTAGAGGCTGCACATTAGGTTGTAGTACTCCCACACTTACTAGGTCCAGTGCTCCCTGGGAGTTACACACTGGTTGTGGTGTGCCAAGGATTGCTCACTATTGTGCAGGACGTCCCCCAGATTGTACTCGGTATAAGACCAGTTCCAGGGATTAAATTCCTAACCTTGTGGCAGCAAGGTTGATATCCTACCACTGAGTCACATCTTGAAGGCCTGAATTATCATTATTATTAATCCAAGATTATCTGAGGGAGACAACACAGGGGTATGTGTATGTGCTTGTTAGTGTTGTATGAATCTCAGGGTAGTAGAAGAATCTTTTCCTTTTGTGGTATCTAGTATCTACCATGCAAAACTCATTTTTCTCTTTCAATCAGCTTACTTTAGAGTTTTCACTATTAAAAACTAAAAATAATCAGCTTATTTTAGAGTTCTCACTATTAAAAACTAAGAATAATACCGTGGAATCTTTTTATTTTTTATTCAGATGAACAAAATAAAATTTAATGGTACATTTTATATTTTTTTGTGTAATGGAAATCTAATTTTTTGATATATTTCCAAGTGGCTAGAGTGATAGTACAGAGGGTAGGGCGTTTGCCTTGCATGCAGCCGACCCGGGTTCGATTCCCAACATCCCATATGGTCCCCTGAGCACCGCCAGGAGTAATTCCTGAGTGCATGAGCCAGGAGTAACCCCCTGTGCATCTCCAGGTGTGACCCAAAAAGAAAAAAAAAAGAGATATATTCCCAAGTACTTTTGGTAATATATTTCTTTTGTCCTAACAAAGGATATTTAGAAATATGTTAAACTGTAAAGTTCTACTAACCCATCTTAAAGAAATATAAGTTGTTTCTCAACAGTAACTATTCATTTTTCCTTTTTTATAGAGTTCTTATATTTTCTACATGGATCTTGGAACTGACAGTGAAAAGCAAATCATATATAACATTTGAGATTGTGTTCAAAAATTATAGAATATTGTGGCATTGTAATTTTTAGGGATTATCATGATTTTTATGCATTAAAACAGCATTTTCCAACCACTGGTCTGCAAAGTGGTGCAGGTCTACCACCTTGATTATAACTGCTGGCTCATGGACTGGTTTACAGACAGGTGCCAGTCCACAGTTGTGAAAAAGTTAAAGAACGCTGTCTTAGAAGGCTTCTGTTCAATATCCAGAGATGTGATTTAAACTACTATTTTGTTTTCTTACAAAATTGATGATCTGACATCTTTGAATTAGAGAAGTTTAGAACATAATCACTAATGCAGAGTGTATTATAAAATGAATTTAATAATAATGAAAAATTTTATTTGAGAAGCCAAATTCTCCTTGGTATCAGTGTATCAATTATCTTTTGGGGGAGGAATTTACAAAATTAAAATTAATTTTTTCTGTTCTAGTAGCCATTGGAGAAGAATTATACTTAAGCCTAATAATATTGAACCATCAAAATATACTATAAAGTGTTTTGTGTCTGCTTGGCATTAAAAACTAATTTTCAAGTAGAAATTTGAGATAAAAATCTCTTAAATCTGTATATGTGTTTTTACTAAGAAATTTTTTCTTTTCTAGTTGTTCCCTGATAAAGGCACAGAAAAAGCAGATAAGGTATTTTTTTTTTTAATTTCAAGTCTAAATTTAGAATCATTTTACTTAAACATAAAGTAATTGGAAGAAATAATTACTTTCAGGTTGATTTTGATTCAGCAGAAGATACCAAATTAATAGAGCTAGATGATTCACAGAAAAGTGAGCATACTGTGTTCATAATGCCACCAGAGCCACCACCTGATGATGAGAAGGATCTGTCCCCAAAGTTCAGGTAGCAGCAGTTTTCTAAACAACTGTTTGCATGCATCTTTATTTTATTTTTGATTATAAGTAGATAATGTATTTTATTCATTTGTGGAGGTCATCTTCTAAATTTTTTCAGTGAACTAATAGCTATGACTGTTCTATGGAGATGTCACCAAGTATTATGATTTTAGAATTGGACAGCTGCATGAGGAGGTGAAGCCGGGTGTTGATTACTGTGTGTTAAGCATTTAGCCATAATTTAGCCTTTTAAAAACTTCATTTCTGAAAAAGAAAATTTTCATGTATGGGCTGGAGAGATACTTCAGGATTTAAGGCCCTTGTCTTGCCACATGCAGACGTGGGTTGAATATTTAATAACAGCAATAATAATAGGCTAACATAATAATTATTTAATTATCCCTAAAATTTAAAAAATACTTCCTTTAAGATATCAAAGCAAGATTGTTTTATGAAGTAGCACTTTAAAATGTATCAAAGTGTGGACATATGTATGTGTGTGTGTGTGTGTGTGTATATATACATACATATATATATATACATATCTATATATGTATTTCTTTGCTGGGTGGAGGGTTGGGCTGAGGATGCAGGCAACTGCTAGCATCAGGATTAGAATGAGGCCTCATTTATTCAAGGCATGAACTGTTCCTAAAGAATATTTTTAAATATCAAACAAATCAAAATATAAAAAAATCAAAATTTCTATGTAGGAATTATTTGTATCTTATAAGTATATCATCATACTTTTTGTTTTGTTTTGTTTTTGCTTTTGAACCACACCTGGTGATGCTTGAGTTTCTCCTGGCTCTGCACTTAAGAATTACTCTTGGTGGTGCTCAGGGTACCATTTGGGATACCAGGGATCACAGATTAGCTGCAAGTGCCCTACCTGCTATGCTGTCTCTGGCCCCTCATCATAAATGTTTTTTGGGAAATTCTGTATAAGGATTTTAGGAAATAATGTTACTACTTGAGGCATAAAAATATTAACAAATACCAGAATATGAATAGTTAATATATTTTGAAGCTTCTATTCTGTTTTTGATGTTTGCTTGTTTTTAGTTACAAGTACTTTCCAAGGCTGGACCTTAAGCTTTTTGACAGACCACAGGAGTTAAAACTTCGTTTTAGTCGACACCCTGCTGGGAATAGCATTACAAACAGTCCAGCTCTCATGGCTAAGAGAACGAAACAGGTCAGCTATTCTTTATCTAATAATGTTAAAAATATATGTGTGATATATAGCTCATGGCTAAGAATGATCACCTACAGCTAAAGTGGAGAACCTTTTTTCTGCCAAGGGTCATTTGGATACGTATAACATAATTTGCAAGCCACACAGAAGACAGGACCTGGGCAGCCATGAGAAGCATTCATGACTGTCTATCATGTACCAGGGATAGACCATAGTTTCACCTACTGGCCAAATGTTCTTAACACCTGCTACAGCAACCACTTGAAGATGCACTGTAATGTTAATTAATTTGCTGTCTTGAAACCCTTCTTAAAATAATGAAACTGCAGTTTGGGGATGCTTATGTTTATGCCTTAAGAGACTCCTTGGGAAGAAAGAGATTTACGTCTGTATTGAGGCACACAAGTCCCAGTGGTGCTGCTTGCTGGGGGTCACTGTGAGCTCACACACATTCATCAGACCTGGATATGATGCTCACACATTTTTTTAAGTACAGTGCTCTGCAGGGGTCATGCTCTTTTTGTAGTGCTTGCCTACACCTGACTGCCGTGTAATTAAAGATCACTGCAGCTCCAAGGATCAAAGACTGCAAGGTTGTCAGCCTCAAATAGCAGAGGTACCAGATTTACACCTGTCACCAAAGAGACCCAGGGATTTAAACTCAGGACCACACGCTTAGAAGGTTGCAAGGCAGGTACACTATTCCTTTGGGCCCTTAATGTTGTTTTTAATGGGAGAACTTTGCTACCTCCTTAAGTCTCATTAGCATCAGATTTCTTTTCTAGCTGTGCTGGAAGAATAAGAAGGTACGGTATTTTCAGATTTGTCTTCAAGGTTCATAGAAGTGGAGCCAATAAAAAAAATAGTGCAAAATTATCCTTTCTTTTATAGCACTGCCCTGCAGAGGATTTCCACCTGCAGGACAACCATAGCAGTGTGATATTCTGGGAGTCCCTTTAGTTTCCTGGAATTAACTTATGGTTTGATAGAATCCAGCAGGTGATTTTGGTCCCTTCCTTATTCTACCTAAACCAGAAAGAAAAACACAGGTAGAAAGCATGACTTTTAAAGTACTTAGTCTTTTTCATTTTATGAGATTTGCAAAGAAAAGGGTCTTTTTAGGAATCTGTTGGTGAACGACTCTGGTGAGGGAGGGCAGAATAGAAATCTTAGCAGAAAATATCTTCCAGCATCTTAGACTTTTTAACTGTGAAACTGACATTGAAGAACTAGACTACAAATAATTAAATCTCTTTCAGCCACCAAACCTTTGTGAAGGGCTCTTGATTTAGTGATTATGTTAGAAAAAGATGAATGGTTTCTACTTCTAAGAAATTTCTAATCTATTAGAGTCTCATTTTTGCTAATAGTTGTAGTATAAAATGTTCTTTCTGTAGGATGATTGTTGTAGGAACTCTGTGACACTGAGTCAAAAGTCACCCACAACAGTAAAACTATGAATTCCTCTGTTTTAGGGTAAAATATTATAGTAACATTTCCTTTTCATTTCCCCTCTCAGTTCCTTCCCTAATTTTAATGAGTTTCAGTGAATCCATAACATTTTATTTATTCTCTTTTTAGGAGATACGAACAGCTCATAAGTTGGCAAAGAGATGTTATACAAATCCACCACAATGGGCCAAGTGTCTCTTCAGTCATTGTTACAGTTTATGGTTTATTTGTCTCCCAGCCTATGTTAAAGTTTCTCATCCTAAGGTCAGAGCACTTCAGCAGGCATATGATGTACTTACTAAGATGAGGAAAACAGATGTGGATCCACTAGATGAGGCAAGTATAACAAATTCAGTTATTGTTATTAAGGTGAACTTGACTTTTATTTTTAAAGAAAATTTGTATCTTAGTTGCACTAGTGTCCCCAGGTATTTTCATTAAACAGGAAAGGTAAAACTATTTCTGCCTCATAGAGTTAGTGCTTTTTTAAAAAATATATATAATTTTTTTGAAAATTACTCTTTTGGGCCAGTGGAAGAGCTCAGAGGTAGAGTATATCCTTTGCGTGTATGGGACCCAGGGTTTGATCCCTCCTGATCACCACCACCTTTCCCCAAAATATGCTCCTTGGGAATGGAGCAGAGATTTCTTTTTTTTTCTTATTCTTTTTAACTCTTACTTTCCTTTAAATTTTTATTTTGGGGGGTGCTTATACCTGGCAATTCTCGGGGGTTACTCCTGGCTCTGCACTCAGGAATCACCTCTGGCAGTGCTATCTCTCTAGCCCCAGGAGCAGAGATTTCCTTAACTTAGAGCAGATAGTCTGCCCTGATAAATAGAAAATAACCTTAATAGTATTTACTTCTTTATAAATTCTTTGCTTGTACATGTGTGCGGTGGACTGAACTCTCAAATATATGAAAGACATACTCTGCCTCTGGCTGATTTAATTTTGTTCTTAATTAACTTATGAAGAATATAGAGAATAACTGTCTGACTCCACTTCTGAGTCAGTGTCCTATGGTGAGTTTTAATCTGTCTGTTTTATATTATAGATTTGAAAACGCAGGTCTGAGTTTTTCAACTCTGACACTATTGATCATTTACCCAATATCATTATTTGGTATCAGGGCCTATCCTGTACATTTTAGGGTGTTTCGCAGGCTCTCTCGCTTTTACCCACTAGGTGACAGTATCAGCTAGTAACCAAAAATCCTCCCATAATAACTAAAAATGCTTAATGTCTGTATATATTGCTTAATATCCCCTGGAGAATAAAATTATCCTACTGATGTAGATAATAATAGTACCTTCCTTTAAGGCTAACTCAAAGGTTAAATTAGTTTCATCTCTGTAAAGTGCCTAGAATATTACCTGATACATAGTAAGTACTCAGTGAACGATAAACGTTTTGAGTGCATTCTCTCTTAATCTTAGAATCATCCAGAGAAACATTATCTAGTCAGTGTTTAAGAAAGTCATTTATTTAGCCTTTCATCTCTCCCGCCCCCAAGCATTCTTTTTGCTGTTAAAGTAACTGTAAGTGATACTTAGAGACAAATTTAAATCTCAGTAACAATATACAGTGGGGATGGGAGAGAGGATAGTGGTTAAAGCACATACCTTGCCTATGGCCTACCATAGTTCAGTCTCTGGCACCACATGGTCCCTGCGCACTGCTGGGTGGCCCAGGCAAACTCCAGCTCTCAGGGCTAGAGCAGCGCATATCTTGCATATGCAGTGCCTTAGATTTCACCCCCAGTACAGCATGGCCACCAAGCACCTCTGGGTATAACCCCCACAACAGAAAAGGGGGAAAAAATCTGTGTAAATTTACTTCAGTTTATTTTGTGTGTATGTGTGTATATGTGTGTGACCACACCCAGCGATGTTCAGGAGCTACTTCTGGCTTGGCACTCAGAAAACTCCTGGTGGGGCCTGTGGACCATAAGAGATGCCAAGGATTGAATCTGGGTAGGCTACATAAAAAACAAGTGTCCTACCTGCTGTATTGTTGCCCCTCAGCATTGAGCCAGGAGTGGCACCCCAAGAAATGATTAAAAAAATTAAATGTAAAAGAATACAGATGACGTCCCTCATACAGTTGTAATAAGATGGCATAACAATTTTGTTATTTAAGAAGTTTCTTGGGGCTGGAGAGAGAGCACAAGAGGCATCTCTCAAGTCCCCTTTTTAGGTATTTCTAATTCACATTGTTTACTGATGCTTATTTCACCTAGCTTTTTTTTTTTTTTTTTGCTTTTTGGGTCACACCCGGCGATGCTCAGGAATCACTCCTGGCGGTACTCAGGGGACCCTGTGGGATGCTGGGAATCGAACCCGGGTCGGCTGCGTGCAAGACAAACACCCTCCCCGCTGTGCTATCGCTCCAGCCCCCACCTAGCCATTTTTTAAGTTGCTTCTATAGTTTCTGATCTCCTCTTACTCCTAAATTACAATCTCCATTCCTCCAATACTCATCTTTATGATCTTCTGCTTCTTCAGATCCCTTTTCTTATGTCATTTCTTCTGTTCTGGACATTCTTTCTCAGATATTCTTACTTTCTCCTTGATAGATAAAGAATCTTGGCTTTATAATCACAGTTGTTAACCAACTTTATCATAAACAGAGCATGTCTTATGAGTCCCAAGAAGAGTATTTTCTATGGGGCTGGAGTTAGAGTACATTTGCCCTGCGTGTAGCCAACCTGGGTTTGATTCCTGTCATTCCATATTGCCCTGCAAGCACCACCAGGAGTAATTCCTAAGTGTGAACCAGGAGTAACGCCTAAGCACTGCCAGGTGTGGCCCAAAAACAAGAAGAATATCTTCTTTATGTATAGTTACTTTAGTTAAAATTCATCTGTAGCTGCCTTGTCACTAATCCTGTAACCGACTCATCTCCGCCTGGGATCCATGAGGTACTGCTTCATGGTTTCTACTGTCCTTGTATGAGAGATTTAGCTTTTAGGAGTTCCTAATGTTTTACTTGTTTTCTAACAATCAAGTCTAGTTTTCCCTAATGAAAAGTTTTCTCAGAAGAGAATTTGCTAATATTCTTATAGCATGTTTAACTTCTTTTTGAAAACACGAACTTAACATTATTTTGTTGTTGATATTGTTATGTAGGCATCTAGAATTGCTACACTTAATATTTTAGAATATAAAATAAGATTGGGAAAGAAGCTAATTTTTTTTTTAATTTAAACTTTAGGGGCTAGAGCGATAGCACAGTGGGTAGGGCGTTTGCCTTGCATGCAGCCGACCCAGGTTCAGTTTTCAGCATTCCGTATGGTCCCCTGAGCACCGCCAGGAATAATTTCTGAGTGTACGAGCCAAGAATAACCCCTGTGCAGTACTGGGTGTGACCCAAAAAGCAAGGAACAAAAAACAAAAATAAATTTAAACTTTATTAAACACTGAGGCTTACAAGGTGGTTCTTATTATAGTTGTTGCAGGCATTCAGTGTCCAACACTGATCTCACTACCAATGTGCCCTTCCCCCCACCAGTGTCCCAGTCTCCTGCCTGGCCCTTTAGGAGGCCCAGAATAATTTACTTTATATTGCTTGTTATAACAAAATGAAATTATCAAAACTTTAGGTTTTTTTATTAAAAACTAATTCTTTCCAAACAGTGACGAGTAATAGTCATTTTCTTATGTAAATTTAATCATTAAAACAAATGGAATATGTGAAGTAGTTAATAATAATGTTGGTACTTTTATTAATGTATAATAGGTTTATTTCTAGTGAGGACCAGACTCAGCTACTGCTGGGAAGTGTGTCATCTAGTGTAAAGGATCAAACTCAGGAACTTGCAGATGTTAAGCATATACTCTACCACTTGAACTGTCTCTCAACCTAATGAATAGTAGATTTTTTTTAAGTACTAAGACTCAAATCAGAGCAGAGGAGAAAATAACTTTAAGAATTGAATTAAGAGAGAGAGAGTTTTATATTGGGCTAGGCATTTGCCTTGCACATGCCCAGCCTGAGATCAATCTCTGGAATCCCTTATGGCCTCTAAGCCTTGCCAGGAGTGATCACTGAGTACCACTGGGTATTGCCCCCCCAAAAAGCAAAACAAAACAAAAAAATTAAGTTATATATCTCTAAATGTCACTAACAGAGTACTATGCTAACTACTCATGCCTTGGTGTTATTTTCTGTTAGGTGTGCTATCGAGTAGTAATGCAGCTTTGTGGACTTTGGAGTCATCCTGTTTTAGCAGTGAGAGTCTTATTTGAAATGAAGACTGCAAAGATAAAACCAAATGCTATTACTTATGGCTATTATAATAAGGTAAGTGTGATTGTCATTAGCAATATATACTGATTATTAAGTTTGATACTTTGTTTGGGAGCCATTCCTGGTTATGCTCAGGGCTTACTCATGGCTCTGCATTCAGTGATCACTCCTGGTGGGGCTTGGGTGACAAGATGGAATGCTGGGGATCGAAACCTGGGTCAGTAGCATCCAAGGCAAATCCCCTGTCCACTGTATTATCTCTCCTACCCCAAGTTTGATATTTTTTAAATTTTTTTGAGGGGGGATCCCACACGGTGATGCTCAGGGTTTACTCCTGGTTCTAAACTCAGAAATTACTCCTGGCCTTACTTGGGGGACCATATGGGGTGCTGGGTGCTCGGGGGACCATATGGGATGCCAGAGATCAAACCCGGGTTGGCCTTGTGCTAGGCAAACGTCCTACCATCTGTACTATCACTCTGACCCCCCCCCCCAGTTTGATAATTTTGATAACTTTTGTTTATTACACATGATACTTAGAGGTTTGGGGGTATAATTATATAACATATTTATGTATTTTTAAAAATTAAATATTTTAATAAGCAGTGTTTTTGATCTTAATTCTACTTAGGTAGTTTTGGAGAGCCCTTGGCCTAGCAGTACCCGCAGTGGTATTTTCTTATGGACGAAGGTGCGGAATGTCATCCGTGGCTTGGCACAATTTAGGCAGCCACTTAAAAAGACTATGCAAAAGTCACAGGTCTCTTCATCATCAGGTAATACATACATACTAAAAAGATACTATCTTGGTGAACTGTAAGCTTTATAGGCATATAATTTTTTAAATTATATGATGTAGAGAACTTAAATGAAATTTTGGCAGATACTTTTTTTATGTAACTAAAGACAGAAATTACTGTAGTACAAATTATTTTTTCTCAAAAATTTTAGAACATATTCTGAAACCGTAAATGATCTGAGAGTGGTCTGTGTTTTGTTTCAGAGGTTATCAGTATGTGAGTTATTGAGCTGCTGTTGTTCTTATCTTTAGTGCCACAGAATTCCACAGGTGGAAGTGATGGGGACACGATGAGCCATGGTAGCATGGATAGTGCTACTGATGCTAACAATGGCGAGCACACAGTCTTCGTCAGAGATTTAATCAGTGTTGATTCCACCGACAATCACTCAAGTACAGGTATAAAGCTTGGATTTTGCTGGCCTTTCACTTACTCTTATGTTGTCTGTCTGTCTTTCTTTTATTCTTTCTTTCTTTCTTTCTTTCTTTCGTTCTTTTTTTTTTAACGCTTTTGCTCTCTCTTCTCGAGTTTGTGCAGTATGAGTATTTTAAAACTATACTATGTAAAGGAAGAAATTACACCTGATTATAGATCACTTTGTATTTCCCATAGTATAAAATAAACTTTGGGGAGCCGGATCAAGTGCAGCATGTAGGGCATTTGCCTTGCACGTGGCCGACCCAGGTTTGAGCCCCAGCATCCCATATGGTACCCCAAGCACCACCAGGACTAAGTCCTGAGTGCAGAGCCAGAGTAATCCCTGAGCATCACCGGATGTGACCCAAAAAGCCAAATAAACACAATCAATTAAATAAAGTAAAATTTGGAATGCTTGCACACAAGGCTCTAGCATGGCTCTTCTTTGTTCATCATTTGTAAAAGTATGTAATTGTTAGGAATTGTAAACTATGGAATTTAATATCATTGGAACAGCTAGTAAATAGTTTTTATTGAGTGAAAATACTTATTAAACATATGTGTGAATATCTGTGTATTTTGAAGGAAAATAAGACACTCCATGCAGAGGTCAAAAAGAGAGCCCAAAGGGGTGGAATGTATGCTTTGCATGTAGGAGACCTGGATTCTGTCCTTTGGTCTCCTGGGTACCACCAAGCATAAACGTGAGAGTAGCCCTCAAACCAAAAAAAAGCACACCGTGATTTAAAGCCTTCTTTACATTTATCATTTTAAGTGATACTTCAAAAAACCTGACAGTCCAAGCATATGACTCAGCAGAGACTGAGTTTGATCCCTGGCATGTGTCTCCCAGTACTACTAGGAGTGGCTTTGGTGCCACCTGACACCCCTGTCCCATCCCATTCCCCTCCCCCTCTCTGTAGCCTTCACAGCTAACCTTTAAAATGAAATCTGAGAAGTCTTCTGAAGTTGGAAATAAGCATCATTAAAGTGGCACATGGCTATGGGGTGGGGTTGGGGGGCGTTGCTTAGGAAATGGTGTGAAGGGCTGGAGCACATCCTTGGCATGGGTAATCCTATTTTCCATCCAGTATGGTCCCTGAGCACCACCTGGAGCATCTCTAGTACTGCCAGGTATGGTTCCAAAAGGCAGGGGGAAAATTAAGGCTAAAGTGACACATTGAAGAGATGCATATGTATTGCACATCCTTCTTCTTGTATTGTTTTTTCCTTTTTGTTATTTTTGTTATTGTTAATATTTCAAACTTTTCTTTAAAGAAAATTCTGAGTCTAATTCCTGTGCTGCATCTGATGAACTTGTCTCAATGACTGAAGTTTCCTTTTCTCTGCTCTTTGTTGTTCTGCTTTTTGCTCTGTGCTGTTCTTGGTGCTGCATTTGTCCTTGGCTGTCATGGTGTGGGTTGCAGACAGACTTATATGACGTGAAGCTATGGATACACGTGTGCATTAATTCTACTCTTGAATGTTAACTACCTCAGGTAATTTCCCGTTTATTTTAGGTTAAAGTCGCTAACATTCAAAGGGTTGGGGGGAGGAGACTGTTTTAGTGTCATTACAGGTGGAAAACAATTTTAGTTTTCTTGGCTTTTTTCTTTGGATAAAGGTAATCATACATGGTTTCTGAAATTATCTAGGTGAACATTCTGTAGCTGATTTGTAAAGTATATTTACCTTACTTGAAACTGTACTATGTTTTAAAAATACATAATGTCAAATCTTATTTTAATGCTGTCATAGCATCATTATGTCAGATAGTTTCATGGGCATTAAAGATTCGGTGCTCTAAGTTTTTGTTTTTAATTTACTTTTGACTTAGACACTGTGATTTACTTATAATAGGTTCTTGGCCATATAATATTCCCACTTCCAAATCTACCACCCCATATCTCCATTCCTCCACTGCTTACCCCAGATTTCCTCTCACCCCACAACCAGACTCCTCGACAGCTATGCTTTTTAATTTAGTTATGTAACCTGTGTATATAGTGCTTTAGGTAGTATTGGAGCTTAATAGCTTAGGTATATACAGATAATTTGCCTCTGAACCGTAGAGGGGCCTAGGCTTCTGATTGCCCGGTGTTACTTCCAGCTCACTATTGTTTCGTCTCACTTCCATTTCTCTCTTTCCTTGACATTTTTGTTTCTGTACTCTAGAGCCAATGTTTTGTCCACCTTTGCTCCCAGCCATTCACTGGATACATTATTCTGTGTACAAAATGTTGTGTGATTTTAATTTTTATATGATTATTATTTCCTAAATGCAGTGTATTTGTGTGATTTTTTGCTTGTTAAGATTGGTTTGTAGAGTTCTTTCTAAAAATCTATCCTGGTATTTATAGAAACATTAAAGTATGAGTATGAATTTTTTGTTTCTTGTTTTTGGCCACTCTCAGTGATGCTCAGGGGTTACTCATCACTCTGTACCCAGGAATTATTCCTGGAGGTGCTCAGGGGGCTGATCATATAGGATGCTGAGGGTTGAACCCGGCTTTGCTGCATGCAAACAAGCATCTATCCACTCTACTGTCTCTAATATGAATTATTGAAAGTCAGCAATAGAGGACTATAAATTAGCTTGTTTGTAAGTAAATGTAGTTCAGCCAAGATTTTTGGTGAGACTTTTATTTTAAAACCACCTTATTTTTATGTCTTCTTGCTTTATTAATATTTGAAGAAGAAATGTATTTCATTTATGAAAAACCAAGGAAAATAATACACTGAAATTATTTCACAATGAATACAATAAAAAGTAAACATTTGTATTCCTCTGTACTTTTAAAGTTATCTCATTATATTGGCAATTTATTTTGTTAAAGTAAAAAATGATCTCCTATTTAGCATAAAGATTCCAATTGTTAGAGAATCTTTACATCTTTTTTCACACATGTGCTGCTTTTCAGTAGCATTTTACATGGCTAAAGTAAACCTGAATTACAGTGGTTATATGTCTCTGTAAAGTTTTTGTAGTGTCATTTGATATTTTGGAGACTTAGAGCCTACTTTCATTAAGGATTATCTGTAGAATCTCTTGGTACCTGATACTGAGCCACTTAGCTTGTTGGGTGGTATATCTGGGCTTAATCGGTATACACTATTCCTCCCACTCAAGTGTCCATTTCATGGCATCATAATGTTTTACCAGACTTTCTGAAAGGGCCAATAAAAAAAGCATCTGAAATGCAGTATTGAAAGTTGTTTACTTCTTTTTTTAATGTCACATTTAAAGTTTGAGTGGTGTTATAGTAAGTGATTAAAAAGTAGAAGGCACTATACGTATACTTCTAATGTCTTTTTTATTAATGCCCTTTATAATGATTTCCAATAATTAACTTTAATTTAGGTTTTGTTTTGTTTTGTTTTGTTTGGCTTTTTGGCACCCAGCAATGCACAGGGGTTACTCCTGGCTATGCACTCAGGAATCACCCCTGACGGTGCTCATGGGACCATATGGGATGCTGGGAATCGAACCCGGGTCAGCCGCATGCAAGGCAAATGCCCTACCCACTGTGCTATTGCTCCAGCCCCTAATTTAGATTTTTAAAGCTGAATAGGCTTTAAAAAAAAAACTTAATCTTTGATCCTTGGCATTCCATATTGTCCCCCAAGAACTGCCAGGAATTAATTCCTGAGCACAGAGCCAGGAGAAACAGCTGAGCATAACCAGGTGTGGCCCAGAAAGCAGGCAAGTTGGTGGCGGGTTGAGGGTGTGGGGAGGGTTTGCTATAAGCTCAGACTTGAAAAAGTTTACAAGAATTGTAGAGCAAACAGTTGATATTTATCTAGATTCATTCATTTTCAGTTTACTACCTTTGCTTTATTTACTTTCTGTACATGTACTATTTGTTTTTATAAATCATGTGAAAATAGGGGTTTTATTCAACTCTTTACCTCTTAATATGTCAGGGATGTTTTCTATAAAGTAGCCAGTATAGTTACCAAATCCAGGAAAAATATTAATATACTATTTTATTGATGTATTCTGACTTTGACACTTCCCTTTTCAAGTTTGTTGATTTGAAAATATTTATAATGTTCTCTGTGGTACTCATTGCTCTTATTTTAGTCCCCTTTTAGCCTGACACAGTTTGTCAGATTTTCTTTGTCTCTTTTTTTGTTTGTTTGGGGCTCACATATGACAATGCCCAGGGGTTCCTTCTGGCTCTGCACTCAGGAATTACTCCTCATAGTGCTTGCAGGCCATAAGAGGTGCCGGGTATTGAACCATTGTCAGCTGCAAAAATGCCATTTGGAAAAATTGTATGAAAGTTCCTCCTGAAAGACATGCGGGGCTTGCTCTTCAAGCCTGTATTCTTCCTTGAACATGTATCTTGCTTGCGTGCTCTGTATATTTTGTTTGTGTGCTTTTCCAGTCCGGAGAAGCTGGTTCCCCCTGTTTGTTTTCCCTCACACACACATTTACATGGATATACTAAGTTTACAACTAAAAATCCAATTCCATTCTTCAGCATACAGTTGACCCCCTTTACCTACCTGATTTATTCATTCTTCTGTTTTCTCTTCTGGTAACCGCGAATTTGCTTCAGTATACTAGAAGCTTCATTTCACTCATTTAGTTTCTCTAAGTACTACATAGGAATGAAATAATACAGTGTTTATCTTTCTCTGATTTATTTCACTATACTTAATATCTTCAGTCTGTTTACATTATTGCAAATGTCAGGGTTTAATCTTATAGCTGAGTAGTGTTCCTTTGTGTGTGTCACAAAGGAATATACACATATACACACAGACACTGCATCTTTGTTCAATCATCTCTCAACTTAGTTCTTGGCTATTATATATAATGCTGCAATGAATATGGGGTGCATATACCCTATATCTTAAAATTTTCCATCTTTGGGAAAATACCAACAAGTGGTAGTTGGATTCCATGTAATTTCTGTTTTTTCAAAATTTTTTGAGGATTTTCAATAATGCTTTGCAGAATAACTGTAGTAATTTACATCCCACCATCAGTGATGAAGGATTCCCTTACTTTCCACATCTTCTCTAATATGTGTGTCTTTGAGCAATAGCCAGTATCATAGTTGTGAGGTGATACCTTTTTGTTTCAATATGAATTTCCTTAATAATAATGAGATTGAGCATCACTTCATATGCCTGTTGGGCACGTGTATGTATTCTTTGGAGAAGTGCCTGTTTAGGTATGTTGTTAATTTTTTTTAATTGCATGGTCTATTTTTTATTGAGTTTTATGAGTTTTTTTTTATATGTTTTGGGCATTAATCCCTTGATATTCGTTTCTTTCGCCATGCAGAAACTTTCTAATTTGATATAATCCCATTTATTTGATTTGGCTTTTGTTTCTTTTCCCTTTGGAATCAGTATTCCACAGAGACATCCTTCAGTCCTATGTCAGGGAACAAGGAACATCTTACCTGTGTTTTCATTTATGTATTTTGTGATATTTAAAAGTCTTTAATTCATTTTGCATTGACATTTTGGGATAGTATCTATTGCTGGTGCAGTTTTATTCCTTTTTACTTGTGGCTGTTAAGTTTCCCAATACCATTTAACAATATTTTCCTTTCTATTGACCTTTTCCATTGACAGTATATATCTCTGAACCAACCTCTACTGTGATAGCCATGAAATGGTGATTTTAGCACTGCGTGTGTCCTCCCAAATAAATAAATTAGTGATTTTTACCAGCTCTGTCTCCTTCCACATTTATATATTATATTATAGTGTGTGTCCATTACACATATACCAGTTATATTTTTTGAGAACTTCTTTCTTATATAACAAAGTATACCTGACTCTGATTCCTTTCACTGGTAAATAGATTTTACCAACAATTAGCTGAAATACAGGTTTGTTTCCTGCTTCTGGGCTTTTTCCAAAGAGCTAGGAAAAAAACTACATATTGTATAAATACCTTAAATTCCAAATCAGCTCTATAGATTTTACTTTATTAACTTTTATATCTTTACAACCAATATCCTTTGGTGGTCAGAGGGCTAGTTCAGAGGTTAAGGTGCTTCCCTTTATTACAGCTCATCCAGGCTGGAATCCCCAATTCCACAGGGTGTGGATCTCCCACCCATCCCCCAGCCCCAAACAAAATCTCCTTTTTGAAAAGAGAAAACCAGTCTCCTTTCTTCCAAAGTGAGGAACATGGTTCCCATCATCAACACATTTAATCATTTGTTTAAACAAATAGACAATAGTTTTATTGTCTGTCGGTCCTACACTACAAATAAAATACATACACAATTGTTATAACCCTTTCCCTGTTAGAGAAAAAAGCCTAAGGAGTTTAGGATTTGGCTGTTACCTATCACGCTTAGAATATAGAGTCAAAATAATTGTTTAAAAGTTACTTGGATTAGTCCTCCTCTAGTCCTTTCAGTATAGTTATATTATTCACACAAAATAGAATATGTTTCAGGTTCAGAGCAGTAGTACAGTGGGTGGGAAGACCAGCCCAAATTCAATCCCTAGCTCCATATATAGTTCCCTAAGCTATGCCACTGAGCACAGAGCCTGGAGTAATCCCTGAGCGTTGTTGGGTGTGATCCCCCAGAACAAAACAAAACAACAAAAAGTGGGACTGGAGCTATAGCACAGCGGGTAGGGTCTTGCATGCAGCCGACCCAGGTTTGATTCCCAGCATTCTATATGGTCCCCTGAGCACCACCAGGAGTAATTCCTGAGCGCATGAGCCAAGAGTTACCCCTGAGCATTGTCGGGTGTGAGCCCAAAAAAAAAAGAACAGTAAATTTTGTTTGATTTCAGCTTTGCACCTTTTGGTTTTGTTTTTAGTTACTATTCATCTTCCCCCTCAGTTTTGTTGATTTAATTTTCAGTTATGTATATGTTAATGTATTTCCAAATTTTAAAAAAATCAATGTAAGAAGGCATATAGACAAAAGTGCCCTCTCTTCTTTCTACCCTACCCACTCCTTATCAGTAATAGTTTTAGTGTCTCGTTTTTTTCCCCTGTGATTATTTGCACATATAATGTCTATATGTTTGTTTTATTATTACTTTGATCATTTTGTAGACCTCCAAAAGAATTTTCAAACACATTACTTAAATCTGTTGATTCATTTTCTGCTTCTAGATGTGCAGTGGTTTGCAGGTGTGTTGTCTCTTTCAGCTCTTCTTTGCTTATCTTTGCTTTAAAATGTTCCGTGTGTTTCATGAGCCTTCTTTTATTCCTTTTTTTTAAACTTTATTGTATAGACCATTGAAATTTTCTCTTGACATTTTATATAGGTAGGTAATAAATATGTGTGAACAAAATTCTGCATTCTTTTTAACAGGTGGTCAGTCTGACCAAGGCTACGGGTCTAAAGATGAACTTATAAAAGATGATACAGAAATTCACATGCCTGAAGATCAAGTAGCACGAGAACTGATAACTAAAACAAAAGACCAAACAGGTTAAGTATTGATATTTATTTCCTGGTATTAAGTATTTGTAATTTTGATTATAATTCCTAAACTTGTAAGATCTGAGATTATGAGATAAGGAGAGATAGTGTCTGAATTTTAGAATGTTAAAAGATCTTTAGAACCTCTGTAGGTAAGTTTTCAATTTCTGAGGAAAGAGTAACCCATTTCAGTATTAAATCAATTAGATAGCTATTTTGTAACAGAAAAAGACTAAATTTTCAGTAATCACACTTGTATTGTGTCACCTTTATTTTGCAGTGCCGGTTACGGGGCAGGGGTGGGAGAATGGGGATTGCTAAAAGCAAGTAAAAGGCCGTGTTCTTTACCACTGGGCCAGATTTTCTACCCCTTTTAATTTACTTTAATTGTTTGGCTTTTTGGGTCATACCTGTAGATACTCAGAGGTTACTCCTGGCCCTGCACTCAAGAGTTACTCCTTGTGATGCATTGGGGCGCCATATGGGATGCCAGGGATTGAACCCTGATGGTCATATGCAGGGCAAATGCCCTACCTGCTGTACTATCACTCTGTCCCTCCACCTCTTTTATTTTAAAATGCTCTTTTAGGATCATGAATATGGCTCAGTGGTCAAGCACATTCCTCACATATGTAGGTCCTGGGTTTACTCCTCCCAACACTGTAAAAATAAAGTTAAAATGCTCTTTTATTAGATGATCTTTAACTATTTGTGGATATATTTGATTGTAGATTAAATTGTGTGACTTTTCCTGTGTATGTGTATGTGTGTGTATGCATTTTGATGGGATTTATTGAGGTATAGATGAGATTTATAGTACTCACTTTATGGAAACATAGAGTTATAGTATTTTGACTATATAATAATAAGATGATCTCCCGTACTAGCAAGATTTAAGACAGAATAATCAGATAACAGTAATAAAGCATGTATTTACACATCATGTACTCATCCTTATTTGAAGAAAAATAAACAAAAATATGAATCAATGTGTAGTTTCTCTTTCACATTGGTACGAGTGGAATGATCATGACTCTTTTGTTCAGAACCGTGTGACATCCCTGCTACAGTAGTGAAGCATTCACAGTCTCGGGAGGAGCTACACAGCCCTGCTGAACCTCCCGGCTGGGGCAGCAGCATCGTGAAGGTCCCATCTGGTATTTTTGATATCAGCAGCAGGAAAAGTAGCATTGGTGAGTTTTTCCATATTGGCTATAAATTATTTAAAATATATTTTGTTCAGTTATACATGTGTCTCTAAACACAACATTGTTGTTTTAATTGTGATGTATGTGCTAAAGAGCTGGAAGTAAGTTGGAATCCTAAAGAAAAAAATTAAATAGTTGTTTTTAAAAGATACTTAATTTTTTAAGGGAGTGGTACTTAGTGTGCTTATTTGTTATATGCAAGACACTTCTTGTTTTGTTGTCAAATCTGTTTGCAGTTTGTAGCAGAAAGAACCTTAGTACTTCTCACCTTATCAGAAACATAATGGCAGTGATGTGACTGAATTCCAGTGGGTTAGCATGGGGCAGCCTGACTAATTTTCTGTCACTGAAGAAAAAAATGGATTAAAAGGTTCATATTACTTAGGCCCTACACAGACACATTAATGGGTTTTTAATTTTGGTTCTCCCCCCGCCTTTTTAATTTTTCTTTTTTTTTTCTTTTTTTTTTTTTTTTTGGTGAAGGGCACCCACCTGGTGGTGTTCAGGGCTTACTCCTGACTCTGTTCAAAGTGTAACTCCTGGTGGGGCTCAGGGGACTTTAGGGGGTCTCCGGGATCAAACCTAGGTTTGCCATGAGGTGAGCACCCACTATACGATCTCTCCAGCCCCAGTTTTGGTGTAATTATTGCGGGTATCCTGAATCATTTCTTATATGTGATTGAGGTTTTTTGTTTGCCTTATTGGGAGTTGAACCCAGATCCCCCCTGTAAAACAAGTCTTATACTCTATCATTAAGCAGCATCACTGGCCCCTTGGAATTAAGGGTTGGGGTTTTTGGTTTTGGTTTTGGGGTTTTTTGTTTGTTTGTTTGTTTGTTTGTTTGGTTTTTGGGTCACTCCTAGTGGTGCTCAGGACTTACTCTTAGCTCTGAGCTCAGGGGTCATTTCTGGTGGTGCTTGGGAGGGCATACGTGATGCTGGGGATCAAATCCAGGTCGGCTAAGTGCAAGGCAGGTACCCTACCAACTGTACTATCACTCTGGCCCCTGTGATTAAGTTTTTAATAAATGGTTGTGTTGTATATGAATACTTGAATTGAATTTACTAGTTCCAATTACATTGTAAGTCTCTCAAGTATGTGTATATGTATATATATGATTATATACTTAACCTATAAAGTATATGTCTTAAGTATATGATCTTTAGAGGTCTGATTTTCAGAGGTCTGAAATTTGCCTGTATCCATGGCCCTTCATTAATAGTAGCTACACTTCACTTCTCCAATGTCTCTAATGTATCCATTGTATGACTCCATAGAAGTTAAATTGTTAAAATTTTTTTAAAAAATTATTCTTTTCAGTGAAGATTTGTTTTTTTAAACTATGGCAGTCACTAGTTCATTTGTTAAGTTTTATAGTTCAGAAATGTTTTAACACATATATTACTCTAGTTCTGAAAAATAAAACCCAGAATGAAGAAATTTATATAAAACCTTAGTGAACAGGCTGCTGTTCAAATATGTTTATTTGTTAGCTTGGCAGGCCACACAAAGAAGTACTCTCTGCCCACTCCTAGCGTAATGTGTAGAGAACCATAGGTGCCCAGGATCAACCAGGCTTTCTACACAGAAGTGTGTGCACTAGCCCTTTCTCTCCTGGCCTGGCTTATCTGCCTTTTTTTCCCCTTGAAGTACTGTGGTTTACAATATTGATGATAGGGTTTTGTGCATACAACATTCCAACACCATACTCTCCACCAGAGTGTTCACTTACCACCACCACTGTCTAAGAGTCCCCTGCCAATACCACCCACTTCTATACCCTTGCCCATAATAAGCACAGTTCTGTAGGTCTCTGTTCAGCTTCTTATAGAAATACTCCTTATTCCTAGTCTTATATGTCTTGTATTTGCAATAATAAATTTTATTATGTATTTTGCATTATACTCAAAAAGTGGAACTAAAGGGATTTTTTAAAAATTATTTATATTTGGCTTTTTAGGTCACACCTGGCAATGCTCAGGGGTTACTCTGGCCCTGCACACAGGAATTACTCCTGGCGGTGCTCAGGGGTCCTTATGGGATGCCAGGGATCAAACCTGGGTCAGCTGTGTGCAAAGCAAACAACTTCCCCACTACACTATCACTCTGGTCCCTAAAGGTTTTTTTTAAGTGTATTTTACGTATACTTAAAACATATACTTTATAGCTACCAAGCAGACTTTTTAAAAAAAGAAGGGAAAAAAATGAAGGCAGAATCTTCTTTATCATGGTTCTTTTTTAAAAAAAAAAAATAACATGAACTAAAGACTGGTATTTCTTTTCCTTTTTTACTCATCTTTCATCTTGAGCTTGGAAAATTTATTTAGCTAAGTTAAAAGGGTGTAGTAATGGGGCTTATACTTCTATATGAAATAGAGTTGCTTGAAAGTTTAACAAAACATACCACTAAATTTCTGGATGGGGGCTGAAACAATAATGAAGCAGGTTGGGCATTTGCCCAGATCCCAGCATCCCATCTCAAACCCATCGGGAGTGATCCCTGATCACAGAGCCAGGAGTAAACTCTGAGTACCACTGGGTGTGGCTCCCCAACAAACAAAAAAAAAACAAGCGAACAAACAAAAATAGATGGAAATCTTAGGAGGACTAGTAAATTTGCAAAGGTCTGTTTCTTATATATTGGTAAAACATTTCAATGCAGGAAAATTTTCAAAGTTGTATAGTAGTGTACTTTAATTTCTCTGATTAAATGCTAAATGCTGCTATTAACTGGTATGATTATGATTGTTAGTTGGTACCATAATTTGGAAGACTAAAATAGGACCTTAAAATCCATTTGGGGGGCTAGAACAATAGCACAGCGGGTAGGGCGTTTGCCTTGCACGCGGCAGGTTCAAGTCCCAGCACCCCAGATGGTCCCCCAACCACCGCCAGGAGTAACCCCTGAGCATCGCTGGGTGTGACCCAAAAAGCAAAAAAATAAATAAATAAAATCTATTTGGAAGTTTGCGGTTTTTTTATGGGTACTTACCAAACAGAGTAGATGACTGTTGCTTTCCCTAAAGCTGGGGCAGGTTCCTATAGCAATTGGCATAATTTTATTTTACTTATTAAAGAAACCTAACCTATCAGAGGGCAGGTATCATGTCTGTGCTACTCAACATTATGTTCCTAGCATCTTGCATAGTGGGTGCTAGTAGACATTTAGATGTTTGTTGAAGGAATAACTGTATCTGAAAGTTTTTTTAGCTACTGAGATTTTTGTCATGTTTAGAATTTGCTTAGTCTAAGCACACCACTTAGTGAATTATTTTACATTGGGACGAAAGTTTCTGGCTATTGCAGATAGGTAATTCTTTCATTCTCAGTGTCGAGTACATTCCTGGGCAAATACTGAGTTAGAGATGTGGAAGACTTGATAGAAGAAAATGTTTCTGTTTAAGTGTACTCCCAGGTTCAATCCCCAAGCACTGCCAGGAGTAGTGCCTGAGTGCAGAGCCAGGAGTACCCTCTGAGCATTGCTGGGTGTGACTTAAAAAAGCCATATGTATATTTATTTTTCTGTTGATAGAAGATCAAAAGACAGTTTTTTTTTGTCTTAATATGTGTGCTTATACATAGAGGATAAGAGGAAAGATTTTACATAAAATGTTAACTTTGTGGCTGGAGGGATAGTATAGTGGTTGGGGTGCTTGCCAGTTCCATTTTGATCCCTAGTAACCCATATGGTCTCCTGAGAACCATCAGCAGTGATCCCTGAGTGCAGAGCCAGGAATAAACCCTGAGCACAGCTGAGTGTTCCCCACCATTTTTTTTAATTATCTTTGGAAGGAAAAGTTAAATATGTTTTTTTAGAAATTAAAAAAAAACTTTTTTTCTATATACCTTCATAATACTTTTTGAGTTTTTTTTGTCTCTTCTATTCAGTATGTATTATTTTCAAAAGAAACATTTTTATAAGAGATACATGGGCTGAAGCAATAGCACAGCAGGTAGGGCGTTTGCCTTGCACGTGGCCGACCCAGGTTTGATTCCTCCATCCCTCGGAGAGCCTGGCAAGCAACCGAGAGTATCCCACCCGCACGGCACAGCCTGGCAAGCTCCCCATGACAATATGCCAAAAATAGTAACAAGAAGTCTCACAGTGGAGACAATACTGGTGCCCGTTCGAGCAAATCGATGAACAAGGGGAGTACAGTGCTACATGGGAAAAATAAGGATCCATTTTTTTTCTTTTTGGTGTTTTTTGTATTTTGAGCCACACCTAAAACTCCTGGGTTTGTATTTAGGAATTACTCCTGACTATAGAGTTTGAGGGACATGTGGGATTCTGGGGATCAAACTTGGGTTGACTACATGCAAGGCAAGTACCCTACTGCTGTACTATCACTCCAGGCCCTAAAGATCTGTTTTTAATATTATAATTTCCCTTTTAGCTAGTACGTCGAATGTGCTGTTTTCTACTCAAGATCCAGTTGAAGAAGTAGTGCCTGGTGAAGTCACTAATCTCAAGAAGAATGGTGATAAGGGAGAAAAAAGACAAAAACATTTCCCAGAGAGGAGTTGTAGTTTTAGTTCTGAAAGTCGAGCAGGAATGTTGCTGAAGAAGAGTAGTTTGGATTTGAACTCCAGTGAAATGGCTATCATGATGGGAGCAGATGCCAAGATCCTCACAGCAGCCTTGTGTCCCAAGACTTCTCCACTTCATATGGCAAGAACCCATAGCTTTGAGGGTGTTAGCTCTCATCTGGCTGATTCCAGGACTCGTGTGTCGGAAAGCTTATGGGAGTCCGAGCACAGATCTGCCATGTTAGAGATGCTGGAGGAAAGCCAAGAGCCTCTTGAGGCTGCTATTGATGACAGTGAAGTGAAAACATCGGTGACAAAGGATACATATGACAGTCTGCAAAGTAATAGTAGCAGTAATCAGTCCATAGACTTAAAGACTGAATCCAAAGATCAGTCGAATAAGAGAGGTAGTTTATATGGTGTTGCTAAAGCTGTCGAGAGGGAAGATGTTGAGACTGGACTAGATCCTTTGTCTCTTTTAGCTACTGAATGTTTAGGAGAAAAATCTGACCCTGAAGATAAATTTTCTCCAGTTATTGCACGTAATCTGGCTGATGAAATTGAAAGCTATATGAAGCTAAAGAGCCCTGTAGGCAACAAACCGTCTAGTGTGGAATTGCACAGAGAGGAGAACAGAGATTCTAGTCCTACTGCTGAGTTTGTGCAAGCTGTAGACAGGAGATCAAGTCTACCTTTAGATCCTGGTCCACCAACACAGGAGAGTCCTGAAAGTGAAAAGCCTTCCCCCTCGGTGTCCAGGTCTAAAACGTTCACGGGGCGTTTTAAGCAGCACACTCCCTCGCGCGCTCACAAGGATCGTTCAGGGTCTCTGTCAGCACTTGTGCGTTCTTCACCACATGGCTCATTAGGCTCTGTGGTAAACTCTTTTACCACGGGTTTAAAGCTGGATAATATACTCTCGGGCCCCAAGATGGATGTGCTGAAATCTGGTATGAAACAAGCAGCAACAGTCGCCAGTAAGATGTGGGTCGCTGTAGCATCTGCCTACAGCTATTCAGATGATGAGGTAGGAACACTTTATTGTATGTCCTAATTGATTTCTGAGTGTTCGTTTGTAGTATTTGTTTAGATATTTCTTACAACTGTGGTTTTCATTATTTTAATTTTTTGATATTTGAGCCATACCCTACAGTGCTCAAGGAACCACAGGGTGTCAGGTATCAAACCCAGACCTCTGCATGCAAAACCTGTGCTAAGCTTGTTGGGTAGTCCCTTTGTCTCTGGTTTTTATATTATAAAATGGTACTCTGCTTCTATAAATAACTAGAACATACATGTAAGTAAATTATTAATGAAGAAATAACAGTGCCATTCTGTGATCCCATAGTTTAAATTGACTTTCTTTAAAACACTAATGGTTAATGTTTAATAATGCCATGTTAGATTTGCATAACTTTATTTTTTAGTAATATTTTCTCATCTCATATATTATGCAGTATAATATACATAGAAGTCATACTGCAGTTTAATCCATAGCTTTTATACTATATATCAAAAATTATTCCTTTAAAAGTATTATAAAGATAAATTAGACATTATATCTTTTTATTGAAGTATTATGGTTTATGAAGGTATTAATATTATTTTAGATTTATAAAACTACTGTACCATGCCCACCACAAGATTGCCAGTATCTCTACCACTGAACCTAGGTCCCTTTTCACCATCCACGTGCCATGCCCAGCCCTCATGCCCCAGTTGGCAGATACAGTTCTCTTGGTAGGGCAGCATTTCAGGGTTTTCATTAGAACTTTCAATAAAAATAATAATTTTTTTTGGAGAAATTTTTTTAATGGAGAAATTTTGCTCATATGTTTTGTAAAACATTTGAAATTTCCCCTTTGTGTTCAAATAATGTGATCTGGGTGGTACTGACGTATTCGATATGCCAAACACAGTAACAAGTCTCACAATGGAGACGTTACTGGGCCTGCTTGAGCGAATCGATGAACAACAGGAGGACAGCGACAGTGACTTTAGTAGTAAAGATAGCTATGAGTGTTTGCTGCTTTTATTATAGTACTATGTTATTGTGAGTTACACATCTGCTTTGATTTCTGAATGTATGTGTACACATACTTATTTAACTTTCGTAGCAGCCTCGTGAATTGGCTCTATATTTATCCCCATTTTATAGATGAGATAGTTGAGATTTCAGTGAGGATAAATACCTTAGCAGATTATTAATTATTATCAATTTATGAGTGACAGTTAAAATTTAAATCAACCTGGGAGATTGACTGTAGTGTCCAGTGCCTTTCACCATTATTGTAACAAAGAAGGGAGCAATGTCTTGGTGGAGATTCTAGTGGATGCTTTCCAGAAATGGCAAAGCAAAGTAGAATCTAAGTGGATTTTGATACTTAAATTTGAAAATTTAGGTTCTTTGAAATGACATAGTGGCAGAATGCTTATCTGAGAGAAAAATGTACTTCAAACCTTAGAACATGTATCATTCAAAGTATCTTTTCATAATGCTAAAGTTCTGAGTCAGATATATAGACACAGGGGGAAAAGTAGGATAATTTAAGACTCGTGTATCATTGAAGGGACAATTTAATTCTACAGGTAAACAATTAAAGGATGTGTATTATAAGTTAACTGCACTTTGTTTTAAAGAATTTACAGAGTTGGACCAGAGCGATAGTTACGGCACTTTGCCTTGCATACTGCAAACTCTGGTTCAATCCCTGCCATCACATAGTTCCATCTTGACTTAGAAATTCCTCCTGGAGCAACCCTTGAACACCACAGGATTGTTTTTATATACTGTTCTGTGTATCTGTATTTAATTTTATATCACTTAACCTGGTTTTACAACCATTAATATAATATTTAAAGCAGAAAATTAAAAGGAAATTGGTTGTTGAAGTGTTTTCTGTCTAAAGTATGAGCAGTCTTATTTAGTTGACTAAGATCTGCAGTGTTTGAAACTTTTAGTCATGTCTTGTTCCTCAGTGGTAATGGTGACTTTTCTGAAAAACCATGTTGCTAATGAGCCAAAGAGGATAGGACAGTGGGTAAGGCGCTTGCTTTGCATGCTATGACCCGAGTCAGTGTGCTCACTACATATGCTCCCCGGAGTGATCCCTGAACACAGAACCAGGTGTAAGCCCTGAGCACTGGGGGGTGTAACCCAGAGACAAAACAAAATCATGTTGCTAACCAAAATTCATAGAACTTTAACCTTATTTTGATGACCTCATAATATCCATGTTTTTAGTTGATATGATTAGAAGTTAGTGAAGTTAAATAATTTCTACAGTGTCAAATGCCTAATTAACTAATGGAGAGGTGAGATTAGTTTGTCTGTCAATTTTTTTTTTTTTCAGTTTTTTGTTTTGTGGCCATACCAGGTGTTTCTCAGGACTTATTCTGTCTCTGCTCAAAGACCAGTGCTGGCAGTGCTCGGGGAACCTTTTCTAACTATGGTTACCCACATACAAGGCAAGGACTGTAATCTCTGTGCCATCTCGCTGGCCCTGGCTGGCTGATTCCTATCAATTCTGCTGCTATCCCTGATTCCACCGGAGAAAATGAACTCTTCGAGTTTCTTCATTAGATGATAATAAATATTGAGAGATACCCCTCACCCTAGTAAATACCAGAGGCACACATAATCTTAAAGTATTGGGTCATTACTTGAATATGAAGGGGAAAATCTAAATAACAGAAGAAAGAGTATACAATTTTGAAAAACATGGGAATAACTTAAGGAGAAAGAAATTTAGGGACTGGAGTGATAGCACAGCAGGTAGGGCATTTGCCTTGCCCTTGACAACCCAGGTTTGATTCCCAGCATCCCATACGGTTCCCTGAGCACCATCAGGAGCAATTCCTGAGTGCAGAGCCAGGGTAATCCATGTGCATCGCCGGGTGTGACCCAAAAAGCAAAAGAGAGAGAGAGAGAGAGAGAGTGAGAGAGAGAGAGAGAGAAATTTAATTCAATAAAGGGTAAAGGTAAAAGGTAAAGGCCCTCCCGTTGTTCATCGATTTGCTCGAGCGGGCCCAGTAACGTCTCCATTGGAGACTTTGTTGTTACTGTGTTTGGCATATCGAATACTTCACGGGGAGCTTGCCAGGCTCTGGCGTGCGGGCGAGATACTCTCGGTAGCTTGCTGGGCTCTCCGAGAGGGGCGGAGGAATCGAACTCGGGTCGGCCATGTTGGCTGCGTGCAAGGCAAACGCCCTACTGCTGTGCTATCGCTCAATAAAGGGTAGAGTGAACATATTCCTGTTGAAAAGGTACTACTTAAATTTGTTGTATTTTTATTATTTTCTATTATAAAGGAGGAAACTAATAGAGATTACAGCTTCCCTGCTGGCCTTGAAGACCATATTTTGGGGGAAAACATGTCATCTAACACAAGTCTTTCAGGACTGGTCCCCAGTGAACTTAACCAGAGCAACACAAGCCTTGGCAGTAGCAGCAGCAGTGGAGATGTAGGAAAACTGCATTACTTAACAGGTAAGGGAAAGACTTTCATTTTTAAAATTTGTGTGTAGAGACCTTTTCCTTCCTCTAACTATAGACAGAATAAGTCCTTTATCCCTAGATTAACGGATATTTAATATGGCCTTACCAATACTGCCACTTTTATAAGATCTACAATTCTGTAATAATCGCTCAAGTTTATTTTTGTACACATTTGGCAATTATATCATTACTTCTCAGAGTATTGTGTGCATTAAAATTGTGCATGGATTTTGTTTTAAAATAAATACAAATATTCAAACCCTAGAGATAAACTTTAGGACTGTGTTTTGTTTTGGTTTTTAACACAATCGATAGGTGAATCAGATTTGTACTAGTTGTTGAGATCCCTACACTATATCATCAAAATAGTTTAGCACTATATTTTTTATTTTTAAGGTCATTAGCTCACATAGCACGATTGAAAAATTGTGACCCCATTCATATTTTTTCAACTTTTATTATGAAAAAAATTACAAAAAATTCAAATGTTCTAAAAAGTTTGAAAGGATCATGTAGTGAGCAATTCACCATACTTAATACTGTTTTTGGAGGGATTACTCCCAGTGGTGCTGGAGTGATAGCGCAGCGGGTAGGGCATTTGCCTTGAACGTGGCCGACCCGGGTTTGATTTCCTCCGCCCCTCTTGGAGAGCCCGGCAAGCTACCGAGAGTATCTCGCCCGCACGTCAAAAGCCTGGCAAGCTACCGTGACATATTGGATATGCCAAAAACAGTAACAAGAAGTCTCACAATTTGTTGTGAGACGTTACAGGTGCCTGCTCAAGCAAATGGATGAACAATGGGAGGACAGTCTACAGTGTTACTCCCAGTGGTGCTGGGGGCCTTTCCTGGCACAGTTCTTGTGAGCACTTACCACTCAACAGTGATATTCAAGGGGCCATGCAGAGCATGTGCTCCAGTTCTTTGAACCATCTCCTTATCTTAACTAGTGTTATTTTTTAGCTATATATTTCTACTACATACTTACATTTTTATGATTGTCCTATTTGAAAATCAACTGTAGACTTTGGAACACTTCTCCCCTAAATTCTTCAGTATGCGTTTCCAGAAAACTTTATTATGTTTTATTTCTTTCTAGGCGAAGTTCCATTTCCAAGAGGCATAAAAGGACAGGACTTTGAAAAATCAGACCATGGTTCTTCTCAAAACACCAGCATGTCTAGCATCTATCAGAATTGCGCCATGGAGGTAAAAGTTCTATATCCCATCCATGATAAAAGCAGCTGCAATTATCTTTGTATTTCAAAATGGCATATAGCAATCCTATAATAACCAAGTTGAAAGAATATTAACGTAAGTCATTTGGTTGAATTGGCTAAATGGTTTATGTAATCAAGACTATAAACTGGTAATACTTCCTTATAAAGTATCTGAACTATTAGTTCCAAATCTAATCAACAGAATCTATTAAATATCTCAAAAGAGTGATCTATTGGGATTTAATTTTCACTGTGGAGGGTCTCAGTATCTGTACTTTTCTGCTTTTCTAGGTTTTGATGTCAAGTTGTTCACAGTGCAGAGCTTGTGAAGCTTTAGTTTATGATGAAGAGATTATGGCTGGCTGGATGGCAGATGATTCAAATCTGAATACAACTTGTCCATTCTGTAAAAGCAACTTCTTGCCTCTTCTCAATATAGAATTTAAAGACCTCAGAGGCTCTGCGAGGTTAGTATTGTAAAGCTCCTTTAAGAAGCTAGTGCCCACAAAAAATAAGATGCCTAGAGGATGAGTTAACGTTTATATTAAATTTCAGACTTCTCTGTTCTGTCTCTCCTTCACTTTCAGTGTATGAATAGAAAATAGGCCCCAGAGAGCTTGCACAATGTCTGAGTGCATGCATTGCTCATAGGAGGCCTGAGTTTGATCCTTAGCACTGCTTGTTCCCCAAGCCCAGTCAGGAATTAATTCTGAGTACTGAACTGGGAGTAGCCCCTGAACACCTTCAGGTATTACCCTTCCCCAAATTAAAATATATATATATATTATATATATATATTTCTGCAATGATAAGGTATAGTGTGAAATGAATGACTCCATAGGGGGATGTGAGGTAATTTTTTTTCAGAAAAATAGTCTCACTAAAAATAGTTTTTGTAACCTCATGGAGTCGCTTTCAGGCATGACTTCAGTAATCTCTGAAAAATTGCCTTACAGGTTTACATTCCCACAAGAAGCTATATTGCCAGTAGCAGTGCCTACAAATTCTCATTTCGTTGTATTTTCACTTTCAAAAAACTCCATTCTGTTAAATGGTATTTCAAGTACTTTTTCTGAATACTAGTGAATTAGAGTCTTTTCTGTTAGTAAGTATACCCTGTGTTACATAAAGCCTGTTCACCAGCCCATGAGCTATCTTCCTGGCTGATAAGGAAAATGTTATTGATTGTATGATATCTTTAGATATCTTGATTACTAATATTTTTGGGAACATATGCATTTACCTTCTCCTAGTCAGTTGACTTGTCTTTACATGTTGTGGTTTCCTTCACTTTTGATGTAGTCTGCTATATTCTTGCCTTTGTTTCCCTTCCTTTGAAGCCAGATCCAAAAGATATCACTGTGACTGGCTTTAAAGAACTGAACTATTATCGATTACTTTGGCTTCGTAGTATAAGTTTAAGTGAGGGAGTGTGAGTCCTGCTTTTGTTATTCTTTGTTAAAATATTTTGTTATTTGATATCTTTGCTGGTACCATACAAATTGTAGAATTGTTTGTTAACCCTGCTTTGGGATTTTGGTAGGGATTTCATTGAATCTGTAATAAGACAGACATTTCAACAATATTAACCTTTTGAACCCCTGACCACAGAATATCTTTCAGTTTGTTGTATCATCTTTATTTCTTTCATCTCTGTGTTATAGTTTTTACTGTACAGTTTGTTTGCCTCTATCATTAAATTTATTCTCAGGTACTTTATTCATTTTTGATTGATGGAGCGAGAGCACAGCGGGTAGGACTTCTGCTTTGCACGCAGCCGACCCAAATTCAATTCCTCCGCCCCTCTCAGAGAGCCTGCAAGCTACCGAGAATATCCCGCCCACATGGCAGAGCCTGGCAAGCTCCCTGTGGCGTATTCGATATTCCAAAAACAGTAACAAGTCTCACAACAAGTCTCACAATTTGTTGTGAGATGTTACTAGTGCCTGCTTTAGCAAATCCATGAACAACGGAAGGACAATGACAGTGACAGAATTTTAAATGGAATTTTATTCTTAGTGTTTCTCCTATTGTTGTTGTTGTATAAAACTGCAACACATTTTTGCACACTGATTTTGGACCCTGCAAGTTTACTGAATTTGTTTCTTAGTGTTTTTTAAGATGTTTTATATGTATGTATATATAAGTATGTATAAAATCCTGTCATCCTGTCATCCACATATAGATGACAGTTGGTAAATATTCTTGCTGATAATTCCTTAGAGAGAGATTATTAAATTTTTGTTTTGTTTTGGGGGGGTCACACCCAATGGTATTCAAGGGTTACTCCTAGCTCTGTGCGTAGAGAATACTCCTGGTGGTGCTTGGGTGTCCAAATAGGGTGCCAAGGCTTAAACCTGAATCAGCTGCAAGCACCCTACCCAGTGTACTGTTGTTCTAGCCCCTGCTCTTAATTTTTTAACTCCGTGTGCATTTTATCATCATAGCTTTTTAAAAATCTTTCTCATAAGCAGAAAAGGTCTTCATTTGAACTATAATAACCTCCTCAAGACATTTTCGTTTGAAAAGTCTGGGAGTAAGAGAGAGGAGAAAGAACGAGAGTAGAAGTATATGCGTGTTTGAAGTAGGCAATATATTACATATGAATTGTATGATTCATTGTCACTGCTATACTATAAGATGATTCTAAACTTGTTGAAATTTGTAGGACTGTGTGATTTTTTTAAAGCATTTTTTTCCTTCTGCTCCTATCTAGCTTTTTCCTGAAACCAAGTACCTCTGGTGATAGTTTACAAAGTGGAAGCATCCCATTGGCAAGTGAACCTTTGGAGCATAAGCCTGTGTCCAGTTCAGCAGAACCTGACTTGATCAACTTTATGGATTTCCCAAAATTTAACCAGACCATAACTGAAGAAACAAGCTCTGCAGTTGAATCAAGGTACCCTAGATTACAGAGTTAATTTTACAAGGTTATCCAGAATAATACAAATTATTATTGTAAAATGTCCTATCTTTTAAACAACCTGACTCACGGAGGAATCAGTTCTGCCACTTAACAAATTTTTATCTTGAGCCAGAAATAGAACTCATCTGACTGAACGTATGCTTTGCACGGAGGAGGCTCAGGTTTGATCTGCCTGGTGCCCCAAGCTCAGTGAAAAGCAATTCCCAAGTCAGAGCTAGTAGGAGGCCCTGAACACTGCTTGATATGTGTGCAACCTCTCCCCACCGCCCCAATTTTTGCCAACAGATATTGTTTAAATAATTGTTGAAGAGGGGACAGAGCAATAGTACAGCAGATAGGATGCTTACCTTGCATGCTGCCAATCCAGATTCAATCCCGGTACCCCATATCGTCCCTGGAGACCACCAGGAGTGACTGTGATCCATGAGCACAGAGTCAGGAGTACGCCCTGAGTTGCTTGATGTGGCCCAGAAACCAAACAAACAGCTGCTTGATATGACCAAACAAACAAAAAAATTGATGATGAATCACTTTTGAAACCCTTTAATGTTTTGGCAAGCTCCCTGTGACGTATTCGATATGCCAAACACAGTAACAACAAAGTCTCCAATGGAGACGTTACGGGGCCCGTTCGAGCAAATCGATGAACAACGGGAGGGCCTTTACCTTTACCTTTACCTTTTGCAAAAAAACACGATTTCTTGGCAGTATAATTTTCCCTATTGTTGTCATTGCGAGTTTCCAGAGACATCTTTATTGTGAACATTTATTGAGAGCCTGTATCTGCATAAACATCCTTAATGTTGGGGCTGGAGCGACAGCACAGCGGGTAGGGCATTTGCCTTGCACGCAGCCAACATGGCTGACCCTGGTTCAATTCCCAGCATCCCATATGGTCCCCCGAGCATCGCCAGGAGTAATTCCTGAGTGCATGAGCCAGGAGTAACCCCTGAGCATTGCTGGGTGTGACCCAAAAAGCAAAAAAAAAAAAAAAAAACCCATCCTTAACGCACTGAAAGTACAGTGAATGAGATCTGGAGACAGCAGTATAGTTCAGTGCCAGAACACATGCTTTGCATGTATCTGGGGTTGATCCTTGACACCAAACATTCATTAAAAAATAACTTTTAAGTAAATAAGATCTAGTTTCTATGTTTAAGTAGACTGTAATCTGATAGAGATTAAATGCTTGTGATAAATACATAACTATTTGCATGCAGTATTCTTCTAGATGATTTATTTAATAAAAAAATGTTTGAATAAAGCACTTGAGTAAACACTTATCTTTCAAAAATAATAACTGTTATTTGCCAGATCCTCCTCCCACCAGACATTCACTCTTGTCTTCTTTTGACTAGTTTATAAAAAGTGTATGAAGAAAATTTATTCTTACAAGGCAATAAATACTTGACTCTAAAATAGATTAAGTAAAATTCACTTCATTTTAGAAAATATTCCAGCTCTGTAGATTTTGGTTGTTCTTCAGTCTGAGCATAGTATTTCTTCTTTATGTTTTTAAGTGATGAAATAAAGAAAATCAGTGGAGATGTCCAAACTATGAAAATTTCATCTGCGCCTAATAATTTGTCAAAGCGGAATGTGTCTCTTACTCGAAGTCACAGTGTAGGAGGGCCCTTGCAGAATATTGACTTTGCCCAGCGACCGTTTCATGGCATTTCAACAGTTAGTCTTCCCAATAGTCTTCAAGAAGTTGTGGTATGTAATATCATTATATTAGTACTATATATTCATGTAAATATTTATTGAACTAGTTTATATTCTTTAGGTAGGCTTATTGACATAAATACTGGTCTTCTTTTTATTAACAGCTTTTCAGAATTCCAAATATATACAAGAATAAGCAGAAAGAATACAATGAATTCCTTTGACCTGTCATCTAGCATCTGTGATTTTCAATTTATGACCATGCTCTTTGTGTACCTTCATTTACTTTTATAGAATTTTTTTTCATTCTTGCTTTCCTTTTAAAATTTTTATTTTCCCCTTCTTTTCCTTTTTTATTCTATTGACTAATTGTTCCCTTTTTTGAAGTTCAGGGATTGAATCCCGAACCCTCAGACTTGTATGGCATGAACTCTACTTTTGAATGATTCCTTTTTTCACTCCTTTTCTTTATTTTCTTATACTATTTTGAAACATATTTTTAACTCTGTATTTTTTTTTGGTAAATATTTTAGATTACATCTCAAAAAATAAAGAATTATAAGTCGGGGAGATAGTACAGGCAGGTGCTTGCCTTACAAGTCGTCAACCCAGGTTTGATCCCTAGCAATCCCATATGGTTCCCTGAGCCCTCCAGGAGTGATTCCTGAGCGCAGAGCCAGGAGTAACCCTTGAGCATTGCCAAGTGTACGTCCCCCCAAATAATAAAAAATAAAAGAGTCTTAAAGAGACAATATCATTTTCAAACCAAAGACAAAATAACAGTATTTATTCAGTCTGTTTAGATTCCCAGTTATCTAAAAATTGATTGCAGTTGCTTGATCTGGTTATTTTTGTTTCTAATAACTTATAATCTATAGACTCTCCTTTTTATCCTTGAAAGTTAATTGTTGTTTGTAACTATGAAGTGGTTATTGTATCTAAGAGAAGCTTGGTCAGTTTTTTATATTTTATGTTATGCTCTTCCTTTCTTTGCTGTTTGTTTTGGAGTCACACCTGACAGTGCTCAGGGCTTATTTCTGACTCTACACTCAGTAATCACTCCTAGTCGGGTTGGGGAATATATGGGATGCCAGAAATCGAACGTGGCTCTGCTTTGTGCAATGCAAGTGCCCTACCCACTGTACTATTGCTCTGGTCCCTCTTTGCTTATTTTTAGAAGACTGCTTCACCCGGGCGGTCTTTTGTTTCTCTAATAGGAGACATCATCGGTGTTTGTGATGATTTAACTATTGATGCATCAGTGCTTAAATCGAATTCATTTGAAACTTTCAAATGATTAATTCTATCATTTCTTACTGCAATGTATCTATTAAGCGTATATCTGTTATGGAATATATCTTTCCTCATGTCATTTTAGTTTTCTAATAACCCAGTTTATGCTAGAATGGTAGGATAAATATTTACATTTATGTCCATACATTTGGGTTGGAGTGATAGCACAGCGGGTAGGGCGATTGCCTTGCACGTGGCCAACCCGGGTTCAATTCCTCCATCCCTCTCAGAGGGCCCGGCAAGCTACCGAGAGTATCCCGCCTGCATGGCAAAGCCTGGCAAGCTCCCATGGTGTATTCGATATGCCAAAAACAGTAACAAGTCTCACAATGGAGACGTTACTGGTGCCCGCTCGAGCAAATTGATGAACAATAGGAGCATAGTGCTTGCTGACAGTGCATGTCCATACATTTATATGCAAATTTCGACTTCATTTTACCTGTGGCTGTGCAGTGTTCCATTGTGTAGGTCTACCATAGGTTTTTTGTTTTGTTTTGTTTTTTAGTAATGTAGGAGTACTGCTGTTTGTTCAGCCATTGATTAAGCTCATTGAATTGGATATGAACTCCACATTACTTGTTTTAATTATATCACCGTGAGATAGAGTTACAAAGCTTTTGTGTTTGAGATTCAGCCATACAGTGATGGAACACCCATCCCTCCACCGGTGCACATTTTCCACCACCAGTGTCCCCAGTATCCCCATCTGTATACACCCCTCCACCCCACATCCCAGTCCTCACCCTACCTGTATGGCAAACAGTTTCCCCAGTACTGTCTCTAATTTTGGGCATTATGTTTTGCTCAAAATTTTCCACCACCACTCAAGCCTATCTGCCTAGGGCAGATGCTAGATAATTTATTTTCCATTGCTCGTTTTAAATATCATGAGAGCATGCACAGCCACAATTGTAAATGTAAATTTCTAGATAATAAATGGTTGCGTTCCAGAGACATCTCTGTATGGCACTAATCCATTTTGGGATTTAGTTGGGAGTCTCTGGGCTAGGGATGTTGGTGTGCTAAGATAGCACCCAACATGGGCATGACAGCCAGTCTGCTGGGAGGGCAGGGACCCGGGGAGGGACAGCCCAGGTCCTCTGCCTGGGATTTAGTCCTGGAACCCACACACCTGAGCCATGCTTGTGGAAGCTCTTGGTCCCTGGGATTCCATCCGGAGTAGGTGGGGAGACTGCACCTGCTCCGTTGGGGTGCCCTGGTGAAATTGGCCCAGTATGGGGCCCTGAGAGATCTTCCAGGACTTACTGCTGTGTCTCTGGACCAGGGCTGTTGGTGTGCTAAGATGGATCCCGGAGGCAAGTTGTAGGCATGACAGCCAGTCTGCTAGGTGGGCGGGGAGGGGGGAGGGAGAGCCCAGGTCTTCTGCTGCCATGCAGCCTGGAGATTCAGTGCTGGAACCCGCATACCTGGTACCTGGTTAAATAGTTTATTTAACCGGTCATCTGTTCTTGGACACTTGGGTTTTTTCCAAATTCTGGCTATTGTAAAGAGTGCTGCAATGAACATAGAAGTGCAGATGGTGTTTCTGCTGTGTGTTTTTGGCTCTACAGAGTATGTTCCCAGAAGTATTATTGCTGGGTCATACGGAAGCCCAATTTCTAGATTTTTTGAGGTATGCCCTTTCTAAAAAGGCGTGACCAGTCAGCATTCCTACCCGCAATGGATGAGAATCCCTTTTTCCCCACATTCATGCCAGCTGTAGTTGTTCTTGTTTTTCTTGATAGTGTCAGTCTTCTGTGGTGTGAGATGATACTTCATTATTTTGATTTGCATTTCCCTGATGATTAGTAATGTCTTTTGGCCATTTGAATTTCTTCTTTAAGGACGTTTCTGTTAATTTCCTCTCCCCATTTTTGATGAGGTTAAATGTAATTTTTCTTGTAAAGTTCTAGTATTTTATTTTTCTAAGTGCCAGGGATTGAGTCCAGTGCCTCATATGTGTAAAGCATGTGTTCTACCTCTGAAACACATTTGTAACCCCAAGTACTTTTTTTTTTATGTTTTTATTACACTGCATCAACTACATCTGTCAAAAACCCTAAAATAACTGATTTGGAAAGAATAGAGGATATAATCTCAATGAGAAGTACTCATAAAAATGCATAATTAAATAGATAATATTCACTTTTTTTTTCCTTAAAGGATCCTTTAGGAAAAAGACCAAATCCTCCCCCTGTTTCTGTGCCTTACTTGAGTCCACTAGTGCTTCGTAAAGAACTTGAGTCTTTGCTAGAAAATGAAGGTGACCAGGTGATTCATACATCCTCTTTCATCAATCAGCACCCAATCATTTTCTGGAACCTTGTTTGGTATTTCAGACGTTTGGATCTTCCAAGTAACTTGCCAGGACTTATTCTATCATCTGAACATTGTAATGGAGGTGTGCAGGTAGGATATCTTCTATACTTCAATATATTGGCTTTGTTAGGATAAGGCATTATTTCAAATAACAAAAAGTTACAGTCATGACTTAACTAAAAAAGTACAGTGGTTTTCTCTCACTTGAACTGTTTAGGTTCAGAGGTGGTCACTGTACGGCATCTGAGGAGATCCTTCCGATTTTTTAGTTTGCTTTGCTCAGTTGCACATGACCTCCATTCCCCATTTCTATACCTGATTCATAATAGCAGGTACTGCCTACAAGTTGTCTCACGTTCTGGCAAGCAGGGGGGGAAAAATGGCTGGAAAGGCTAATTTAAATGGTAATACAAGGAAGTAGAGACCATTGCACTTTCTTTTACCTTAACATTTGATGTGATGGTGGGGCTGAAGCTATCTAGTACAGCAGGTAGGGCATTTGCCTTGCACACGACTGTCCCAGGTTCGAACCCCAGCATCCCATAAGGTCCCCCGAGCACCGCCAGGATTCCTGAGTGCAAAGCCAGGAGTAATCCCTGTGCATCGCCAGGTATGACCCAAAAGCAAAAAATAAATTTGATATGATTGTGGGTAACCTGTCGTGTGAGCATTGTACCAGTTGCCTGGTAGCCATTCCAGCACTTCAGTTCAGAATGAGAAACCTTTCCAGGAGTCAGAAAGATAGTACGGTGGGTGATACCTGCTTATCTGGCTTCAATCCTCAACACTACATATCGTCCTCCCAAACCCTACCTGGAGTGATCCCTGAGCTCAGAGCCAGTCATAAGCACTGAGCACAGCTGGGATTGGCCCAAAACAAACAAACAAAAAAAGCCCGGCAAAACCCACTTTTTTCTTAAATTGAAAACCATTCTCAATAAATAAAAATTACAATATTTTGTTTGTTTTTGAACCACACCCAGCTATGCTCAGGGGTTACTCCTGGCACTGCACTCAAGAATTACTCCTGGTGGGCTCAGGAGAACAAATGGGATGCTGGAGATTGAACCTAGGCTGGTTGAGTTCCAGGAAGAAGACTTACCCACTGTATCATACATCTCTAGCCTCCCAGTAGATAAAAATTAAGATTTTTAGCTAATGTTTTATCTCCAGAATTTTTTCAGAACTGAAGTGCTGGGAGGTCACCAGGACTACACTCAGTGGTGCTAGAGAATTCACATGGGGCCAGGGATCAAACCTAGAGCCACATGCCGGCTAGGGATAAGCTCCAGCTCTTTGAGCTCTCTTCTCAACCCAAAGAATTTTGAAGAAACCCATCCTTTTATACATACAGACTTTACTGAGTCCATTGGAAGTTGTTATGCTGGTGATACTAATAATCTCCCTTAATCTCTTTTAGCTTCCTCTGTCATCACTGTCCCAGGATAGCAAACTTGTATATATTCAGTTGTTATGGGATAATGTCAACCTTCATCAGGAACCAGGAGAACCTCTCTATATCTCCTGGAGGAATTTCAGTAAGTAAAATAGAATTAAAGGCATGAAGGAATCAAACTAAAAATAACCCATACTTTTATTGTGCATAGTAGAATACTCTTCAGCCATAAGGAAGAGGAGACCACTGAGGGGAAAAATTAATTAAAGAGAGAAAGTATTCTGCTTTGTTTGAAAAAAATTTTTTTTCACCTCTTTAGATTTCTTTTCGGTTCAGATAGTTTTGCTATATACTGACCTGCTTAACTGAGTTAGGTCTCTGAATTGAAGAGGATTTGTTTTTGTGCATGTGATTTTTCTTTCAAATAGCAATTTGGCTGAGTATTTTAAGAGTGGATTCTTAATACTAATACAAGAGTGATTTGTATATATTGATATGTGATCATGGTTTGAATTATATGATTATCGCTCTCAAGGAATATGATTTTATTTTCAATACTATATGTATATATAAAATGTCAGTATATATCAGTATATTGGGTTTTTTGGGGTTTTGTTTTGTTTGATTTGTTTTGGTTTGCTTATTTTGGTTTTTGGGCCCCATCTGGCTGTGCTCATGTGTTACTCCTGCACTCAGAAATCACTCCTGGTGGCTTGACCATCTGGGGTGTCAGGGGTCAAACCTGGGTCAACGATGTACAGGGTAAATTCCCTTCACACTGTACTATTGCTCTGGCTCCCTCAGTCTTTTATATTTAAAATATATTTCTAAGAGGGATCCAAACAATGAGTAGATCTAGTAGTACAATGATTCTGGGCCATTGAGTCTACTCCGCTGATGCTAGGGGCCCACCAGGGCTACACCTGGCAGTGCGCAGGGGGCCATGTGATCCTTTAGTTGTTATAGGATAATGAGAATTGAACTTGGGGCTTTGAGCTTGCAGGGCATGTGTTCCATCCCTTTAAGCTATTTCCATGGCTTCTGAAGGTTTATTTTTAGCATTGGTGATTCAACTCTAGGATGCCACTGCAATTCTTTTGTAATCTATGAAATCCATATAAATGATTGGTTTTAAAAATTCTAGTTCAGGATAATAATCCTTATCAATTAGGATTTTTTTTCCTGGTATACTTAAACAAAGTAACAGAAGCCTGAACAAGTAAAGAGATGGAGAACTTATGAAGCAGACATTCCAGGACAAGCAAGTGTTGCCTCTGTCATCAGGGACCCTGGATCCTTCTGTTTTACAATCACTAAAGATTGCTTCATGGTTCCAGAATAACTGCTGGGATGCAAGCAGTCACCTCCTAGGTTGAAGCAGAAAGCTGCAAATTAGGGAAGGGCAGTGGGATTGGCCTCTCCTATTAGAAGACAGCAGGAATGATGAGTTTTATCAGGCCACATTGCCACATAGTAAGATGTTGAATAGAAAACTAAAAAATGCTACAAAGCTGGGAGGTAAATGTCTTCAGTAATTAGGGTGGTTAAGCATGTTGTTAATTTCTATTTTCTTTTTAGATTCTGAAAAGAAATTGACTCTTCTGTCAGAGGAACAACAAGCAACAAGCACTTTAGTTGAATCCATCAGGCAAAGTATTCAACATAATGATGTTCTTAAACCTATCAATCTTCTTTCACAGAAAATGAAGCCAGACATGAAAAGGCAAAGGTAATAACACTTTTTTTTTTGCTTGTTGCTACTCAAAATTCGTGCTTCTAAAAATATGTTTTTAAAGAAGACCTCTATTGTGAGCTAGAGCGATAGCACAGCGGGTTGCGCGTTTGCCTTGCACATGGCCGACCCGGGTTTGATTCCTCTGCCCCTCTCAGAGAGTCCAGCAAGCTTCCGAGAGTATCCCGCCCACACGGCAAAGCCTGGCAAGCTCCCCGTGACGTATTCAATATGCCAAAAACTATAACAACAAGTCTCACAATGGAGACGTAACTGGTGCTCGCTCGAGCAAATCGATGAACAATGGGAGGACAGTGCTACAGTGCAATTCATTGATGTCAAAAATATACTGAGTCTTTGGGAAACATTTCTGCCGTGCATTAAAAGTTTATAAAATTAACAATGATTTGGAGCTGGAGCAATAGCACAGCGGGTAGGGCGTTTGCCTTGCATGCAGCCGACTCGAGTTCAATTCCCAGCATCCCATCTGGTCCCCTGAGCACCGCCAGGGGTAATTCCTGGGCACAGAGCCAGGAGTAACCCCTGTGCATCGCCGGGTGTGACCCAAAAAGCAAAAATAATAATAATAATAATAATGATTTATATATGTACTACTTACTCAGATTTGGTAGCATTAATACATCTTTCCTTATGTCACATAAAAATATTTTTGGGGGCTTGGAGCAATAGCACAGCGGGTAGGGCGTTTACCTTGTACGCAGCCGACCCAGGTTCAATTCCCAGCATCCCATATGGTCCCCTGAGCACCGCCAGGGGTAATTCCTGAGTGCAGAGCCAGGAGTAACCCCTGTGCGTCACCGGGTCTGACCCAAAAAGCAAAAAAAATACCAAAAACTTGTATTTAAAAAAAGAATGTATGCCTTGCATGTTTGCAATTCTTGATTAAATTCCCAGCACTCCATACATAAAGATGTGAAAAAATAATATTAAATACATGATGGAAGCAGTGAATTCTAAGGATACGGAGCTTTCTCACCCCTCTTACATGCTTGCATAAATGCTCACCCCATCTCAGCATAAGTGAATTTTTCGTGGAAGCTTTAAAAACGGGGACTATGGACCAGCAGCAGTTTTTCCAAGGTCCTTAAGTTTCTCCACTCAGGACATCTTTGAAGATAATTTTAAGAATGATAGCCAGGAATTGATGATGAAAATGGATGGATCCTCCTATAATATCAACAGTTGAAGAAACGATGACTCACAATCTAAGAAGTACCTATTGTTTAAGGGCTGGAAAGGATTATTGGACAATGAATGATACTTCTTCTGACGCCTCTAAAGAAAGGTGGATGAAATATCAGGATTAGCATTAATCTTTTTGTTTGGGGGCCACATCCGGTGGTACTCAGGTTTACTCCTAGCTCTGCACTCAGGGATCACTAGTGGCGAGTTCAGAGGACCATATGGCGTACTAGGGGATAGAACCTGGATCCACTGCAAGGCAAAACCCCTACCCGCTGTACTATTGCTCTGCCCCGATTCTCACTCTGATTTTAAACTGAGCCATGCAAGTCATTTTTAAGGTTTCACTTGTGACTTTTTTTTTTTTTTTAGTATTCACAGGCCAAATTCATATACTTGTAGCCTGTGATTTTAGACTCCTAATTTACCTAGAAATTTATCTTATATTTTGTCAGATGTCATATTTTCTGGACCTTTTGGGGCCAGGAAGGTATAGTACAACAGCTAAGACACTTGCCTTGAATGTGGCAGCCCCTGCTTCAATTCCCAGCACTCCATATAGTCCCCTGAACATACCAGGCGTGATCCCTGAGAACAACCAGTGTGTCGTCCCGTTCATTTCCCCAGAAAAAGGTTTGGTTTCCATAGTTTTTAATTAGAAATTGAAGTTAAGGCAATTCCATGTTGCTTATATGATTTATCAAAAAGTTCAAAGTCATTTTGATCATTTTTAGTATGAAGCTTTATGCCTTCTAAGTTTAATTTGAAATAGGAATGTGCAGGAATGTGCTGTAATAGTTGTAAACACTTTGTTGTAGGGGCTGGGAAGATAAATTGTATAAATTAGAAAGGCAGATAGGCCTTTTTCCTTGCTTGTGACAGACCCGGGTTCGATCCCCGGCACCCCATATGGTCTCCCAAGCCTGTCAGGAGTGACCCCTGAGCATAGAGCCAGGAGTAAGTTATGACCCCTAAACAAACAAGTTTGTTGTACCCTTCATCCAGCTTCCCCAAAAAGTGACCTAACTTCTAACTGCAGTATGAAACACCAGTAATACACTTGGATACATAAACAAAACTTAGTATTTGGGTACCGTATTAAAGAGGTTTTATATGGATATTTATGTCCTTTATTCATTTAAGTTTTAAAATATTTGTTTTATAGGAGTTTATACAGGGAGATCCTCTTCTTGTCATTAGTGTCTCTTGGAAGAGAGAATATTGATATTGGTAAGTTGGTTTATAAAGGGGATTCTTGAGAGAATATTAATATTGGTAAGTTGGTTTATAAAGGAGATTCTTGAGTTTATTTTCTAATTAAAAAATTAACAGCCCTGGGTAAATATTTGCCTTTATAAAGACTTATTTTAATTAGCAGTAAAACATGAAATGTTAATCTACCATTTAATAATACATGGCTTTGTTTTATTAACAATAACAACTGCATTTTTGTTTTTCAGAGGCTTTTGACAATGAATATGGAGTTGCATACAACAGTCTGTCATCAGAGATTCTTGATAGGTTGCAGAAAATTGATGCCCCACCAACTGTCAGTGTGGAATGGTGCAGGAAGTGTTTTGGAGCACCTCTCATTTGAATAAGAAAGTCACTAGAAATTTGACACTAAGCTGAAGGAATTAGATTCATTTTGGAAACATCCATCTGTGTTTTTTTTTTCTAAATCCTAAGATTTGAGGAAAGTTAGGCAGTTCTTTGGACAATATATAATGAAATGTAATTCACACTGAATCATCTCATAATGTAAAAATGCCATTAAAATGCCCCAGTTTATTGATGTTGAACACTTTTAATTTATGAACTGTAAAACTGCCTCTGCTAAAAACTCTTGATTTCTCAGTATTTGTTGGTAGTTTGATGAGAAGCCATGTTCATTCTTGGCATTTTGTTTATACTAGAAACTGATTTGGGAAAAGGCAAAATTGATGTAAATTTGCCTGATTCCAAACCGAATGAAATTTTATCAATTATGAGCAATTACGTCTTGTGCATGTGTGTATATGTACATATATGTGTGGCTGTTTAGGTATGTGTATATTACAGCCATGACAATATATTTATTAAATTTCTTAGGTTGCATGTTGCAATACAATTTTCTAAAAGGGGTCTATTAAATGACTACTACTGAACCTTGTTTGTAGTCATTAATTTCAAAATTACTTTAAAGTCTGATGACCATTGCCTTGCCTCTGACTTTAAACTTAATATATATTTTCACCCTACACCTTGCATAATAGATTATATCTTGAATATCTAGTTACGCTTCCTCTTCCCAAAACCATGCTAATTTGTAATAGCTTTAAAATTGGAATGAGCCAATCATTGTTGTAAGTAAACCAGCTTCATAATTTATGAAATTGGAACCTACTTGTTTAGGTACACATATCGTTTTTTGGTCACTTTTAAAAACCTGTGGGATAAACTTGCACTGTACACAGAAGTTTTATTCTTGTATAATAGATGTGTATGCTTATAAGTATAAATGTGCATTTGTAAATAGTTTCTTAGATTTAATCAATTGTCTTAAAACTTTAAAGCTTTGAACTTTGTTGCCAGTAGGTTGAAGAAAATCATGACCTCACATGCCTCACTGACATTTATCATGCCTTTTTTTCAAAGTATCCTTTAGGAACAGTTAAGTTTGCCTTAACTTTTTGCATGGTTTAAAATCCATTTGTGTGACCTTTTAGCTATTATGTAGGTAACTGAATCAGTTAAGGAAAAAAATATTCCTAGTGGTACAGTTAACAGCACAAATTTCTCTTCTTGGTCTTTTTAAAATAAAATGAAATATCAACATTTCAGGGTTAAGCTGACCTATGCAGAATTCTGTGTTCAATTTGTGAAAGTACTAAATGAAAAAGAACTTGTCAGAAATTATGTACAATCCTCAGTACCTTCAAAATGGATCTTTTGCACTGTCTCAGAGTATATATTTTTGCAATTTAAGACTTGGTACTACTTTTAATATTTAACATTCATTCCTGAAAAGTTTGGAATTATCTTGCATATAAAAACTGAAGAATTAAAAGAAACTGTCCTTGTGTTATTTTTTAAACTCATGAGATACAGCAGTTTAATCAGTTTTCTGATTGGTGAGTTGGAGCTGGAACCATCCCTGATAATGCTCAAGAAATAAAGAATTGTGTTGTCCTGAGATCAATCCTGGTCAGCCAGGTGCAAGGAAAGTGCTCCAACTGCTCTTACTATCAATTAGGCTTGGAAAAACTGACTGGAGATGTAAACTATTCCCATTTTCCAACTATATGAAACTTAAACCCACAACTTCTAAAAGCAATTTACTCCAGATTGCTTAGCATTCCTTTAGACCGGCTCTGGAGGTCTAAATTTTATAATAGGCTCCATGAAACTTTTCCCTCCTGGAATTCCCATTTTCCATCCCAAAATCAAATTGAGAGCAGAACAGTACAATACAGTAAGGCTGAACAAGGCCAACCCAGATCCAATCCTTCATACCACATATTACTACCTACCCCCTGCAGCACAATTGATGGTAATGCCTGGGCACTGCTAAGTATACCCTAGACCACAGCCCAACCCAAAATAAAACCTTTAAACCCAAACACAAAAATTTGTAAGTCTACAACTATACCTCATGATGTCTCACTAATAAATTTTTTTTAAAAAATCAAAATTATTCTAGTTAGATTTACTTCATTTTTGTACACTGTCAAACTCGCACTTAACTGGTGAAACTACAAATTCCATCCCTGGTCAGCCTCAGGTGACAGCTGTTAATACAGGACACCAACTTGTTTGAATTTCTAGAACACAATCAGAAGTGCTAGGGCTACTATGGAATGTGTGGGCTCTTCAAAGGTTTGTTGCCAAGGATTTGGCTCAAATGACATAGTACTTCATTTGGCCCTGTTCCCTCCTGAGCATGTCATAAGCCTGGTGAGGCAGGTAACATTTATAGTAGAATTTTTTTGCCTCAGCATCTACATGCTCACTGGAATTGAAATACCAATCTACACTATTTACATACTAATTAAAACATGGCCTGTCAGGCCCAGCCTACAGCTCAGCAGTAGAGTGCAAGCCTCTTGTATTTGGGGTTGGAGCAATGGTACAGAGATTAAGGTGCTTACCTTGGCTGATCCAGGTTAGATGCCCTGCATCCTTGTATGGTCGTAGGAGAATCCCCAGGATAATTCCTAAGTCAAAGCCAGGTGTGGCCCAAACCCAAGAGTTGCTTGTATAATATACCTTGCTCCCGCGCCCCTCCAAATTGTCAAACTTTATTTTTTACTTGTCTAGTTTTTGTTTTAGTGCCACAGCTAGCTGTGCTCAGTAATCACTCCTAGACCAGCTAAGGATCTTCTGCGGTACCCAGGATTTGGACTGGTAGGCAGCATAGAAGGCAAGCACCTATACTTTATTCTCCAGCCCCATTTTGTTCCATTTCATTACTTCACAGCGTGAATTGTGCTGACACCTCTAAGAAAAATTTTACCTGCCTTGTACCTGCTGGATCCCTAGCATCCCATATGATCCCAAGCACCGCCAGCATCAAGAGTATTGGCCCTAAACCAAAGCCCCCCACCCCCATGTTCTCTTGAGCACATTACTCTAGCCTTCTCTTCCTCTCTCCCCCTTCAAGAAACCTTCAAATAAAACTGGTTTTTACTTAAAAAGGAAAAAAAAAAAACCTCCCCAAAAGTCAAACGGGGAATACACATATCAGGTGACCCCAAAAGTGTTGGGTGTGGATTCAAGACCACCCCCAAGGAATACATTTAAAAAAGTAGTCCACTGGGCCAGAACGATAGCAGAGCGGGTAAAGCGTTTGAACTGCACGTGGCCGACCCAGGTTCGATCCCCAGCATCCCATATAGTCCCCCAAACACTGCCAGGAGTAATTCCTTAGTGTAGAGCCAGGAGTGACCCCCTGAACATCGCTGGGTGTGACCCAAAAGGCCAAAAAAAAAAAAAGTCCATTAATTACTGCCCTTTACCTTGTTGCCATTTCAGGACCTTTCCTAAGCCACCTATAAATTCACCCTCAAAGAAATATCATGGTCGGGGGCTGGAGTGATAGCACAGCGGGTAGGGCGTTTGCCTTGCACGCAGCCGACCCGGGTTCGATTCCCAGCATCCCATATGGTCCCCCAAGCACAGCCAGGAGCCAGGAGTAATTTCTGAGTGCATGAACCAGGAGTAACCCCTGTGCATCGCTGGGTGTGACCCAAAAAAGCAAAAAAAAGAAATACCATGGTCATCTGTTCATGTCGCAGCACATATCTAAACCAAAATATCTCTCAGACTTTACTCGTCATTAGATTGGGGTTTATAATAAACAAATCTTTCAGTGAAAGTTTTGTCTTGTCTTATTTATTCACTGCTCAGAAAACTCATTTTTGACTGGATTCAGACTTGGAGGTAGAAGCTCTCAAAGACGACAGCCTGCGTCTCTTGGCAATCTGCTCCTGGCGTTTCTCTTTTGCCTCCTAAATAAATCAAACAAGAAATATTCAAGCTTGTCTTTGTTAAGAAAATGAAAGTCCAAAGTCTGACCCTCCCAACCTAACCATCTTAGTTACCTTCATTCTCTTCGCCAGCAGTTTAGCGTACTCTGCAGCCTCTTCCTTGTTTTTCTTGGTGCGCTGTTTCTTCAGTGCAATGCGTCGGCGTTTGTGTTGCAGAACACGTGGAGTAACAAGACGCTGAATCTTGGGTGCTTTGGTCCTAGGTTTCTTACCTAAGAATTCATAGGCAATTATCAGTTATCTAGGTCACTAGGCACTGTTTCTCCATTTTTAAAACACTACCAACACTAAACAGATGAAAACTCCAATCAAGTTAACGGTGTCAATGAAAGCAATCGTTTATGTCAGGTTTTTCAAATCAAACGAATTATTCTATAATTTAAGCTGCCAGCAGTTTAAGCATCATCAAAATATAAGGAAAAGTAACAGCTATCTCTGATGCGCCTGTTTTTACCTTGTAATTATGCTTTGTGCCTGTAGATCAGATCATTAAACCATACCAATAGTTCAGGTATCAACATAAATACATTTATATTCCTTACGATTAATGTCAAGTCATACTCCCAACTTTTTCTCTCATTTTCCCCTTGCCACAAATTGATGTCCCGGTATATACATCAGGGCAAAAGATATAGCACGGTGAATTAAGTGCATGGCTAGCCCGGATTTGATCCTATACCCCAATGGAGAACCCAGAGAGGGATGATCCTTCAGAGATGGTGTGCTGTCCCATTCCCCATCTATCAACTGCCACAAAAGATGATAATCCTTGGGTAAGCAGTTGCCGATTTCTTAAGCAGTCTCATGAGGTTATTAGTCTATACAGCATATTCAACACTCCCAAAATGACACCTTTGAGCCAGAGTACAGGAGTAAGCCCTAAGCATTACCAGCTGTGGCCAAAAAAAAGGAGGCAGGGGGACCAGAGAAGCCTGTGTTCTCTCTTTAGCACCTCTCCTCACACATTTAAATTTCCTTCCATTAGAAGTATTTTGTGGGGATGTGAGGGGCATGGGAGGGGAACTGGGGACATTGGTGGTGGGAAATGTACCAAATAACTGAAACCCAATCATAAACAACTTTGTATCTCACCGTGATTCAATGAAATTAAAAATACAATCTCTTGGGGCTGGAGCAAGAGCATAGCAGGTAGGGCATTTGCCTTGCATGAGGCCGACCCGGGTTCAATTCCCAGCATCCCATATGGTCCCCGCAGCACTGCCAGGAGTAATTCCTGAGTGCAAAGCCAGGAGTAACCCTTGTGCATGCCAGGTGTGACTCAAAAAAAAAAAGCAAGAAAAAAATACATTTCTTAGGCACGGAATACAAAACTCATCACTATACATACACACCCTCTTCTGTCTTGAACACTTTTTTCCTTCAAATGGTCACACAATCTAATATTCAACTTACACGGATAGCAAGACATTACATGTACGTTATAAACCACGATAGGCTCCCACCTTCTTTATTTAGGGGCTTCTTCACAACATACTGGCGAACATCATCTTCTTTAGAAAGATTGAAAAGCTTGCGGATTCTGCTCGCTCTTTTGGGCCCCAGACGCCGAGGCACAGTGGTATCAGTGAGTCCAGGAATATCCTTCTCCCCTTAGAAAAATATCAAGCACTCTAGATTAACCCTTGCATCGTTAAGGAAACGTTGTTTTGTCAAACCATGCCCAATCTAAGTGGGGGGAGACCCCCCTCGGTCAATCAGCTTTTAGTCAACAAACTCAACAAGAACCCAGGGGAAGTCTCACCTTTCTTTACAATGACCAAGTTGAGAACGCTCAAATTGGCATCCACAATGCAACCACGCACAGATTTGCGCTTTCTTTCTCCGGTCCTCCGTGGTCTATAACAGGAATGCCCCTTACTCAGCAGCAGTCGGACCCGGCCGTGGGTCAAGACCCCCTGCTTCATGGGGAAGCCTTGCTTATCATTCCCGCCGCTGATCCGGACCACGTAGCCCTGCAGGGAAAACCATCACACAGGAACCATGAGGGCAGCCCTTTCCCTGAGAGGCCCCTCAATTCAACGAGTTAAGAGCAATTTGGAACTTTCTTTCTGCTCTGGAGTCCCACGCCGGTGATGCTCAGCGTATACTCCTGGCAGGCATTGGGGGGTTGAGGAGGGGGCAATAGAGGGTGCCAGGATCCAATCCGGGGGGCGGAACTGCAATGCAAGGGGGAACGCCCGACCCGCTTACAAACTCAGGTCACAAGACTGTAGTCCCAGTTTTCCCCGAGTTCAAAGGGCCAAGCCCTGCTCCGTTATCAATTTTAAACTTGTGTGACTGGAGAAGAGACGCGGCTCTAAAACTGGGCAGCCAGCAATAAACCGCCCGCGGCACGATCGAGTTACCCTTTGGAGACTGTAGGACCAAGAAGCCGTGACAGCCAAGTCTTCGCCCTTCCGGAAAAACTCAGCTCAAGGTCAGCCGTGGGGGGCCCCGCGACAACTCAACTCCCAGGAGCGTTTTTTTTTTTCCCTTATTTTTTTGCTATTTGTTTGCCG